CTTGATGTTTCATCTTTCTATTCAAATGAATATAGGACAATCAGGTAATAATTTTTTGATATTCAGTTTACCATATTGGTTTAGCACCTTTATTCTTTTTAAAGATCTACAACCTTAATTAGTATGTCAAATGTATACTTTTGCTTTTGAGATACCAGTATATGGACTTCAACTCCCAGAATACCCCAGCTAGCTGTAGCTTACTGAAAAATATGATAGGGAAAACAGCTGAGAATGGCTTCAGGAATTCTTTCCAACTTCTTTATCAGGGAAGTTTTAGAGACGTATTTACTGATGGATCGACATATAGGTAGTCCTTTAAGTTTCAAGCAAAAGATAAAATACCAAAAACAAACCCAGGAGGGGTTAGAAAAGGAGGTTAATGAACAGGAAATATCAGGAGTGCAAGGATAAGAAAAACTTGAAGAGATCACTAAGTGAAACTTTGATTGTGCTTACAATCTTATTTTCCTTTGCTTTACAGACCTGCAAAGATAATAAATGAGAGAATTGTAAAAAAAAATCGTTAATGGTTGCTAAATGAGGTAATTTCTAAACAAGGACTAAATAAATTATATGAAAATAAGTTGGACATACAAGTAGTAACTGATAGTCTTCTTTTAAAAAAATTTCTGATTAATATTTATGTTGTTGTTTTCTTTGCATTTATTGGCTGTGTGGAACAATGTATTGTTTGCATGACAGGATCACATTAACTATAGTAAAGGGAAAATCTATGTTTTATCAGTTATTTTAGGATACACCTACTTGCCTTGGCTTTTGTCCCCTAAGGATCAGAATGACACAAGAGCAAGTAAAACCACAGTGGAATATTGTTTCCAGGAATTTTCAATAAATAGTCTCAGGTAAATCATTAAAATAGCAGATGAGAAGTATAGCGGCCTAGAGGTGAAGATGCTCGCCTCCCATGTTTCTCTATCAGGGCGCAAAGAGAAAATATCTGCTGCGAACTTCACGTGTCAAGAAGGGCATCCGGCCAGTAAATGCTCAACTCCATTCAGTCGCCCCGGCTTCACTCCGAATAAAGCAATTAAAGGGTCATAAAAAGAAAAAGTCATTGAAATAGCAGCACCTTCCCTCTCTATGTCAAGTAACAGATTTATATATGGCAGCCTATATATAGTATATGATATATGTGTATGTTACGAATTGCATGTGTGGGAAATGAGTGTGCCTTGTTGCTTTCCACTATACATTGTACACCAAAGAAATAAAAACTGAAACTCCTAGTACGCACATTGCACTTTTCCCACATTAGCTATGAAATAGTGCCAGGCACTTTGTAAGGTTTTGCTGGTTCTCCCTTTGAGTTCCAATATACACAGCTGCAAAAAAGCATTGGCACAGCGTAAAGCAATTCTTAAAATGAGGGGTAATTATGCCCAAGAAGACAATTTGGGCATATCCGAGTGATTATATGTAATGAAGCATTTGGTAATAGCTTGTTTGTGAATTGAAGACTCACCGTTTATGAGTTTGGGACTGCTCCTACTGAGATGTAAAATATGAGAATTGGAGCTTTTTTTGTGAGCCTGGGAAAAAGGATAATGGGGTCAAACAGTTTAAGAACCATGGTTGTTAAGCACTGGAGTTGGCACATCACATCTTGAAGGAAGCACACTATGTTCCACATCAAACATACCTTGATTGTTCTGCTGCCATTTAGTTTACTGTCAGAATTATAATATATATTTATAACATAGTTTGATTTGGCTAGCCATTTCAACTTTCAACTTGCATTTTAATAAAAGTAAAAATTCAAATCCAACATCTAGTTTCATATGTTTTAACAATTAGATGCATTATACAAATGTTAATGAAATGTATTTAACTACTTAACTAAGGAATCTCAAGCAACCTCTTGCTTGAACATTATTAGCTTAATATAATTATCATGCAAATTAAAAGTTAAGATTTAATATGAGTCATATGTTCTATTTGAGGTCAATATAGCACTTATCATTCTTTCCAATACTGAACATCTTACATGCATTATTGTTTTTTCTTCCATTTGATTGTGTTTGATTCTTAGACACTGCATGAAGAAGCATGCTTTCTTCTGCCTTCTCAATATTAACAGGGAGAGAGCCATCCTAACAATATTCCAGAAACTGGGGTAGGACTGGATATAGACAGTAAGTCTGTAAGCAACAAGAAATTTGGCTACTGAATCTTTGGTAATTATCCTTTGAGGGGGGGAAATATTACTTTTATTATTCAATACATTATGCTATGTTTAGCATATTTCCTAACATAAACTTGATGTCCCAAATCGATTCAAAAAAATGTTTATATTTAGATATTTGATATCTCTGAATTCTTTTATAAATAAATATCAGTCTAAAAAATATTTCTGTATATATGCATCCTAATGTCTGTAGAAATAATTAACTTCAAAAGACTATTATGCAAGTCAGGAATGAATTTCCCAATCAAAACAAAAAGCATGTTCTAAAAATGTATAGTTTTGAGCATATTTGACAGAAAGTGAATGTAAAACAATTACAGCTATGTTGGTTCATGGGAAAAAAATAACCAAATTCTGTAGTTGGGGTAAATGTTTTTTATTGCAACCAAAATGCCATAAAAGGATATGCAAATGCTTGAATTCTCCAGAACTCTTTTTCAGATAAGATGTTACAAAAAAAAATAGGAAAGAGAAGCAAGGAAATTCAAAAATTAAGCTGCATGTTTTAGATATGAGATCTATACTTCATATGAAATTATAGATTAAATGGCAAATAATAATGGTGCCATGTGGCATCTAATATTCAGAGATGAAAAAAATGATTTTTCTACCTCTTTCCCAAGCCCAGCTGTGAAAAAATTCCCAATCAAATCCTGGCAAAGGCTATGAAGGAACAGCAATAAAGAAATATTATAGTCATTATAACCGCCAACTTAAAACAGTGATTTCTGTTTGGTATGTTCACTGATTTAACAGATTTATACTTCATTCCCAAACCAATTTCTTTGCTTTTATGCTTCCTTTTAAACTGATATAATTAAGTTCCAAAAGGCCAATAATTTTAAAGCAGCTAAAAGAAGGTTAGGCTGCAAAATCATGTCATTCTTATCAATGTTTATTAAGAATTAAGCATAATATACTCAAAAGGATTTATTCCAAGTATTCCAAATTTGTATGTATGCAAATTTCATAATTATACCAATACAGAAATCTGGATATCTGGTAATTCCAAAAGTTAAGTGTTAAAACACTTTCATTAGCAAAAATATTGTCAATATATGAGACATTTTACTAAATGAATCTCTACAACTATATATTGGTGTAGTGTTCTAAAGTATATCAGGAAAGGATAACTAAAAAAAACCCCTTCCCTCCAAGGATTGCAGAAATAGACAAACGTCATTTGTGGAGAGGGCAGAGCCAAAATATTAAGCCCAGAGATATTTTAGCAGGGAGATGCTGAAAACAGTATGTTAGTGTAACCCTAACAGAGGAATAACGTGCCTATTCTCAAGCTTATATGTTTTAAGAAAAAGAAATTTTTAAAAATGAAAATTAGAGATTCAGAGAGGCTCCAAGGCCAGGAAAAGTTGGTATAATACATGATCAACATTGCTACAATGCAATCTGCAGACATTTGCAGTAGCTGCAGCAACTAAGCATACAAAAAGATAATAATAATAATTAAAAAAAAAAATCCCACAACCTTGGCAAAGATTGGTAATTTCACCAAATAGCAAATACTCCCACAAGCAATTTTCTTAAATAATTTTTGTATTAGTTAAGAGGAAAAGCAATCATATGCTTATAAGAATCCACTGGTGATAAATACAAGAACTGGCACTTTTGTCAGTTACAAATGTAAAAATCATGCATCATCTTTAGAAAGTAATTTAATATTTGGTGTTCCAAGTATATCATACTACAGAGTATTCAAAACAAATTGTTTTCTTATGTCCTTCCACATTTCTATTAAAATGAAGATATTAACGGAATTACCTCAAATTCCAGAGGGATTGATAGTAAAAGCAGATGACAAATATTGTGACATTTGCAAAAATAATGAATATTCTAGCTACAGTTGTTATATAATCTTGATATATATTTGCTTTTTGCAAAGTAGTTAACTAGACTTAGTATAATTTTTAACTAATTCAATATTCATTGACTTAAAACAAAATCTAAATATGACAAATTATGGCTGTAACCCTGTAGCCAGAATACCTCTTTAAAACAATAACTACCCAAATAATACGATGTATTTTGTCATTGTCCTAAACATTAGTTCATCAGGTGAGATTCAAAATAGCCTTCAAGCATAAGAGTTTGCTTGTGCAGTTCTCTTTTTATTACTAGTAACAACCTGTATTGTTTTCAAACACATCCGGAATTTCCCTGAGTTCTGGAGAAAGTATTTCTGATAGAAAATTATAGGAGGATCAATATGTCATGAGAATGCATGCTAAATTACTTTTGCTCTCCTTTTTCTTCAAAAAAACAAAGAAACCCACTGATCATGCAGAATTACCAGCTTTCAGATTTTAAAGGCAATACGTAATACTGAAATGCTATTTAGATATTATGTCAAATGTTTTAATTCCTCAACTTAGCTAGATTCTAGGATCTAGCTTGTTGTTGTAGTTTGACCGACATTATTACTATGAAAATTAGAAAATTAAAAATATTTGTACACAAAAGCAACTGACAATATAAAAATTAATATCATTGAAATTAAGAGTCTCTACGTGTAAAACAGAAATGCCAAGCTAGAAAATCAGGATTATCCCTTTAACATAAAGGGGTTCTGGAGAAGATATAAACAAACTGTGTTGATAAGTAATCCAATCTTACTTTAAATTTCTTCATGGTAGAAGTTGATTGTGCAAATAATAATCTGTGTTGTAGACATCAGCATTTACAATGTAACTCTTCCTGTAATGCTAGACATATCTTTACAACTACCTTTCATACCAATTTATGGGGATCCAAAAAGAAAAATGTAGTAATAATGTCACAAGCATAAGTCACTTGACATTTTAATACAAAAGAATTCTTCGTTCAATAGCCTTTCGACAGATAGGACATTCACTCATTCGATCCCCACAAAGCTGACAGGTTCCATGACCGCAGAGAAAGATCATATTCTTCAGGCGGTCCAAGCATACAGGGCACATGGTCTGTAAGAGAGAAACAAAGAAATAAATGTTTCCTTGGCTAGAACAATCATCAACTATAATAGTTAATCTTGTACACATATTTCCAGAAAACTCAAACTGCAGAAACAAATGGCAAATACTAAGGAGAGTTAACATCATTCTACCTAAAAGTAGTTTAGCTTATATTTAATACACTATTTTAATATATTATTATACAGAACTTAGAGAACTATCAAATAAGAAATCACCTAATGAAGGACTCACATTATACCAGGGCGGTTACAACTGCTGAAGGTGACTATGCACTAAAGCAGAAATGGGCAGAGAGAATGAGGGATAAATAGATATGGGCATTATCATGATGGATACTTCCCCAAGCAGTAGCATCACGGTAGAACTTCCTCACTTCCCTAGTTCAAAAGAAATAGAGTTGAATTTAACACTGCTGTCTATTACGGCTTCAAAGGAAAGCCTCACAAGCCGTCTATTTTTTATAATATTTCAGATTGGTTTATTTCAAGAAAGTCAGTCAACGTTTTTATGTATGACAATAAGGTACGATGAAAGAACACTCTCCAGAATTTTTTTTTTAATCTCAGGCAAAAATATAGTATTTACTGACTTTATACTTTGAAAGTAGGTATTTGCAAAGATATTTGTCCATGTAAAATAACATTTAAGATTTAATGGAAATAATGCCTCAAATCATTTACCTTTAATCTTGCATATCAACTGTACTTACACATGCAAGTTCTACTTTTTAAATTTATGTCACACTATGCTTTTCTGAGATTTAGTTTATATTTCTGTATATTTTATTCAAAAATAGTCAGGAAAACATATTATATAAATAATATATATTTATTTACCCATTGAGTTAGTGTTGACTCCTGGCGACTGCCTGCACAAATCCCTGATGTTTTACGGAATCTAATAAATTTGAAGCATATTTTTCCCTCAATATGTGTATTATTTGAATTTTTCATTATGTAGCACTTACCCTGAAAATACTCACATAATAGTTTTCTAACAAAGTATATTATTGTCATATTTGATTTAATTTACCTGTTCCTTTATGTCTTGCAACTGCTGCTGTAATTTCTGCACATCAGCATTGACATTAGTATTATCCTTATCCTTCTGCATTACAGGAATGTTTCCACTTGCTAAATAATGCACAGAGGAGGAAATAATGACAGACAATGCTTCAAGAATCATCACCACCACCATCTTCATTCAAAGTTACTTAAAATGTTCATCTAGCCTAGTTGATATATTTCCATTTGTGAATTTTAACAGCTTTTTTAAAGCTGATCATTACAAAAAGCACAAATATATGTATCCATCCTACATACTAATCTTCTGAATTCTGAACTTTACCATCAGAATTCAGCTTCAATGTGTGAATTTAAACAGATCACTACATATTCATAAATTCATAATTGAGCTTTAAGTAGATAAATCTTTATTTTATGTATTTGTTAGATTTATATACAGCTTTCCTCCTCTTTTTTCCTATTGCAACAACCTGTGGGATAGAGTTTGTTGACAAAGAATCATTGGTCCAAATGTCACCCAGTGAGCTTCTATAAATAAAGATGGATTTGAACTTGAGTCTCCCCAATGCCAGCCCAGCATCTTAATTATTGCACTATATTGGCAATGTCTTCTAATCACTATCACTTCTTTGGAAATGATACATAAAGAAATAGTTCATGCATTTTTCTTATGAGGAAAGACTGAAGGGTGTGAAGCTCTATATCCAAAGTGTTAGAGAAAAAAAAATGTAAACTCAAATGCCTTCATGCATTGCTTTTCAGTTTCTCAAAGTTATTAGGATTTAGATTCAACAGCCCTTTGATTTATAGGTTTCTTACTTAAGAATTAAGAATCAAATTCCAAAGACTTCTGGCAAAAACACTAGTATAGTTGCGGCTATCATGTATACATTCCATTATTGTTATTATTATGAAGAAGAAAAAAGGTAAGTTTTATACAAAGGGAAACAAGAATTTACTACAGTAAATTTGTGGAATAATAAACAACTCACTAATGTCATCAATGGTATCTTCGGTACCTTTCCCACCACAGCACATAATAAAAGGAACTCTTCGTTCTACCACTGCCCGACATTGCACACATTTTTTCATAAGGCTGGCACAATCTGCAAAGAAAAAAATTAAAACTAGTATGCCTTAATCAAACTTAAATTCAACTTTAATAGATAGAAAAAAATAAGTGAGAAACAATCTTAGGGAAAGAACTGAAGATAAAGGTCTTTGCCAAATATAGCAAACTCGAAAATCAGCTTTTATATAATAACCACCTAATGTCAAATCAATTTAAATAACTTGCTGGATTCCTCTTAAGAAACAACTGTTTACGTACTTTCACAAGCACACATGTGTCCACAAGGCTGAAAGAGTACGGCAGCTTTTTTATCTGAGCATACAACACATTCTTCAATCTGTAAAAACAAAATTAAAGTAACTTTATAGCATTTAGTTCTTCAATTAAATGCTTGTTAGCTTGATATCTATTCTGGATGAAGTGGTAGGAAGACCTATTAAAGATAACATCTGGCATGTAGAAAGACAAATTTTCCTGATGAATCAATATTGTTTCTGCAAAACTAACTTTGCAGTAGTTTCAAAAATGATAAAGAGAAGATGATCTGTTACACACTGTATGTTTCCATGCTTTAAAAAGTGCCTCATTGAAGTTTTCTGAATAAACAGTAAAAGCAGTATGAGTGATGGATCGATAACTAGTTCAAGAGAATGAATCAAGTGACAATATTCAAAGTTGAGTAAATTCCCCAAATCCCACATAAGGCCCATCACTTTTCACTTGCTCATTGCTTATTTAGAATTAGGAAAAAAACAGTAAGGCAGGAAAATTTGCAAATTACCGAGGAAAGAAAAAGAGCTCCAATGTTTTAAACCCCATCTAGGTGAACTAACAACACACTTACAAATATGGTTCAATGTACATATATGCATACACATCCCTGTATATACTACTGTATACAGGTAGTTCTTGAATTATACCATTTATTTAGTGACTATTCAAAGTTACAACAGCATTGAAAAAAGTGACTTATAAATGATCCTTGCATTTATGACCATAGCATTCTCTTAGTCACATGATCAAAATTTGGTCGCTTGGCAGCCAGACAGGGAAGGCATATTGCAGATCCTGTCAGTTAAAGAATTCCAACTGGTGGGGTCTAGAAAGGCAGCCTTCTCTACCAATGCCCTTGCCCTGTGGAATATTCTCTCTTTGGAGGTCAGGTAAGCCCTGACTCTTCTGGCTTTCCAAAAAGAAGTCAAAACAGGGCTCTGACTCTGAGGGGCTGACTGGTGCCCTGACAGCCCTCCTTCGCCTTTTAACTTATTTAACGAAGTTTAATCATCCTTGTCTCCTTTTCAAGTTAGAGAAGTTTTACCTAATTTTAATGATTTTATATGAAAAATCAGAAAATCTGTGAAGATATATTTATCAAACAATTACAATTATCCCAACATGAACCTTCTATATGTAGAGACACAAAATCAGCAAAAAACAAGGAATTATTATTGCTTTTGCTTAGAACCTGGTTGTCATTTTGAGAAATGGGATGCTGAACCAGATGTTCTGGTTTCACTAAATTAGGACTATACATGCTAGATTTAATAGAATACATCATTAAATAAGATTATGGGGAGAAATACTGTTGTAAAGATAATTAATTCCTTCTGACAAAAGAGTTTAAACTGTGAACAACTGGAATATCTGCTCTTTGTTTAAGCATTTGCTATAAGCTTCATTTTAAAGGTAAGGCATTACCCAATATTTGACCGTATTGAAATTATGAAAAAAATTAAGCACACACCTTTGTTCTTGATTGAACATGCTCTTTGCAAATGAGGCATTTCTTGACTCTTGGTGAACACAAGGAACAAGTAGCAATGTGCCCACATGGACCAAATAGAGTATCTCTCTTCATATCAGAACATACCATACATTCTTCTAGGGTTTCGGAATCATTGCTGATCATAGAAGGACTCCGGGAACCAACCTGTCCACTAAACACAAGCCTACATTCAGATATTTATGTACACATTGAATATAATATCCAAAACTCAGAGTATTATTAACATTTGTAATTATTTGTAATTATAAATTCAGGAAAATAACAATATGATCCTTTCTGACAATCTTACAGAAAGCATTTTAGAAGATGATGACTGAGTTTGCAAATTTATCTGCTGACTTGGAAGCATATCTTGGTGAGGTCAATAGGACTTTACATCGTATTTGTAAACTGAGTTGCAGTTATCACCTGGCTCAGTTAAAACAACCGAATTACTCTGAAGATACAACATAAAACTACATAAAACTGCTTATACAACATCCTTAACTTGACAGAGAAATAAATCCTTGTTTGAGTTTTTCTGTTACATATTTAATTGTAACAGAAATAATGTGCTAAGGCATAAAAAAAACCTAATATAGATTCAAACTAATCAAAGCTTAGTACGCTGTATGAATGAAGGTGTTAGTTCTTTAACTTGGTCAGCATAAAAACAAAAATATAAGTTTAAAGTATAATGAATAAAATATGTTCCTTTTTTAAAAAAAAAAGGGGGTTGATCAAATAAAGACATGTATGTATGTATGTATGTATGTATGTATGTATGTATGTGCCATGGTGGCGCAGTGGTCAGAATGCAGTACTGCAGACTACTTCTGCTGACTGCCAGCTGCCTGCAATTTGGCAGTTCAAATCTTACCAGGCTCAAGGTTGACTCAGCCTTCCATCCTTGAGGTTGATAAAATGAGGATCCAGATTGTTGAGGGCAATATGCTGACTCTGTAAACCGCTTAGAGAGGGCTGTAAAGCACTGTGAAGCGGTATATAAGTACTATTGCTATAAATATAGCAGAATTTGCCAGGGGAAATGTTTCCCATTTAATTTATACAACAATCATTCTAGTATGACAAGCTGTCTATTGACCAGAATGACAACAATTTAAGTAATTAAAATAGCCGTGAGGCAATTATAATTAAATTTAACCCAGGTTAAAGTAAAGCACTATCTACCTAATCTGTACAAAATAGACTATGTAGTGAAATGTAAGTATTGTAGAGTACTTCCTTGTAATACAAACCTGATTTTTTCTTTGTGGCATTTAGCCAATGCTTTACAGAGGCTAGGATCAGGACATAAGTCAAGGGGTGATTGACCCTTCTTGTTACGAATACCAAGGTCAGCTCCATTGGCTGCCAGGAAACAGGCAATAGATGCTGCACTTTTCTTCTCTGCTCCCTGAGTACCCAATCCCATTATCAACTGAAAGAAAGTAAAAAAGCAACTTCTTTGAATTTGTATTCAAATATTCTATTTGAATATTTGAATATTTGTATTCAAATATTTAGATACCTAAAATATCATCAAAGAGCAAATAAAAATAATACGGTACCTATGTGCAGGTATAACTACTAGTAATAGGTTTTAGTAAATGCAGTTCTAGAATGCAATGTTGTACAAAATTAAGATATCTTTAATCTGGATTTCCTTATTTCTTTTGGGTCTCTAGGTACTTTTGGAAAAGTGCGACTGACATGCCAACACTCTCACAATATACTTATCAGGTGGAAGGAATAACAAATCATCTGCCACCTACAAATTTTTGTTTCAACAGAACAGACAAGTAAATTTGCCCAAATAATTTCTAAATAATTTCTTCCAAAATTATGTCTTTCAACATTTGTTACCTTCCAATAGGATGATAAATCCCAAACATTACAAAATGTATATTTGCAATGAAGAAGGACTGCTAAAAGATGCAAAATAGTTCCACAATTTTTCCTCATCAAACACACACCTTCTGACTCTTTGGGTTGCATATGCATACCGTATTTCCCCCCTTTCTTCTATTGCTTTCCTCACTCTTTTTCTTTTCTCCTATGCCTGCTTCTCTCCCCCCCCCCCCCCCCCCGTCTGTTCTTTCTACTTTTCCCATTGTCTATCATCAGTCCACCACAAGCCCCCACCATCTTTTTTCTTCCATTTTATTTTCGGCTGGTTGGCTGGCTGGCTGGAAAAAGAACTGTGACCTCTGGGTCTGAGCAATGCTCTCCATGTAAGCCCTAATATAATTTGGCAAAAAAAAAGAGAAAAACCATGCCTGCTAAGACTGAAGATCTGAAATTTCAAAACAAAGGTTATTAAACACTAGAGAAAGGGAAGAGCAGAAGAGAAGGAGGAGATGCTGATCTAATTTATGCTGAAAAATCTTAAATCTTATATTAACCTTTTATGCATTTTTCTCCTGCCAGACCCTTGTCTGAAAGAGTCCTTTGTCTGAGAGTTTTCCTCATAGTCCAGACCACAAAACCCAATTTATGGATGCTAATACTACTTTTATTATAAGATTACAAAAAACCTTGCAAGTCTGAATGAGTCTCTTCCCCCCTCTGCCTTTACATTCAAGAAAATTAAGGGGGGGGGGGGTGTCAAGTCTGAGGCGATTTCTCAAATTACATTCCTGCCTACATTCCTGGACTCAGATTTCTCTTATCTGACCACTGTATTGATTACAAGCTGTTCTTCCTGATCTTCAAAGTTATTTTCACAATTACAACAATTCTGACATTGTTCATATTTTAAAATTCAGCAACTAACATTCCTGCTAACACTACTATAATATTAATGCAACATTTCTCTGCAATCCATTTTAATAACTCTACTTTAAACTAGTTATTGAATAAAAAGGAGTCAATAATAATAATAATAAATGTATATGCTGCTTGATCCCATAGATACTTTTTGCAACAGAGATGTCATCACACGTACTAAATACTTACAATTTACACATATGTATACACACACAAAACAAACTGCAAATGTTTTAGATCTCCTCTATTCAAATTAACTTCTTTAACTATAGGTATTAATGTTTAAAGATATCAAAATTCAATTAAATGAAATTGAAACATTTTAAAAAAATTAGTATAGCTTTTGCCATATACACATCCAGGTTTATTGTGGTATCAAATAGTATTTACTTACTGGCACAGAATCTTTAAATAACTGTTTTCAGAGAACAGAAAGCAGACCAAAGCAAAAGAGCCTTTACAGCAGGGGTGTCAAACTCACAGCGCCACATTATCATCACATGACGTATCACAACTTTTCCCCCCTTTGTTAAACCAGGGGTGGGCGTGACCAGCACGTGACACATCCAGCTCGCAGGCTGGAGTTTGACATCCCTGCTTTACAGCCTACTGGAAAGACAAAATTTAACAGAGAAGAACCAAAATAGTTTTCTTACTGTATTCTTGGAGGGCTCCCAAGCTGTATCTACCTTGCCCACATCTTGCATGTCTTGGAGCTGGCGAAGCTGCGACAAAGTATGATGTCGCAGGGCCTCATGCAGGGGAGTATCTCCATCTTTATCCTGAATATCTAATTTAGCACCTGCACGAACTAGAAGCTGAAAGCAAATAAAATTTCAAGATTTTGAATATCTTTTGCAATAAATAGAAATACATTTATTAAAAACACATTGAAAATTAAAAACAGCTCATAAACTTAGCTATTCAAGGCTATTATAACAGTTTCTTCTTAGATTTTGCAGCCTATACTTAAATTTTTCTTTTACTCTTATTTTCATCGATTGATATGCTCACTGAATATAAATTAGTAAATCATGGTTAAAAGAGTAAGTAGATAACAATGGATATCCAAAAAGGAAATTGCTCCAATACTCTTATTATTGTAAATACATGAAAAATTACCGACATGATCAATGCAATTTTCCACAGATATGTTGGTATAATGCAGGGGTGAAATGCTCCCGGTTCGGACCGGATTGCCCAATCCAGTAGCGATGGCGGCGGGTGATTCGGAGAACTGATAGCAAAAATCCCTGTGCCTCCTCCCATGCCCAGCTGAGCCGCACGATCATCAGAGGCTTTTTTTTAACTTTTAAAAGCATTTTTTCTACAACCTCTTCCGATGAAAAAATGCTTTTAAAAGTAAAAAAAAAGCCTCTGATCGCGCGGCTCAGCTGGGATCATCAGAGGCTTTTCAAAGCATTTTTTTCTGCAACCTCTTGGCCGAAGAGGTGGTTAAAAAAATGCTTTGAAAAGTCTCTGACGATCCCAGCTGAGTTCCTGGCCAGAAGAGGGTGGTGTTAAAAAAATGCTTTGAAAAGTCTCTGACGATCCCAGCTGAGTTCCTGATCGGCAAGGAGGCTTTTCAAAGCATTAGAAAAAATGCTTTGAAGTTTTTTTTTTAAAAAAAGTTGGCCACCCCCACCCAGTCACATTACCCCCCCACCAAGCCACGCCCACAGAACCGGTAGTAACAGATTTTACATTTCACCCCCGGTATAATGGTATTATATGCAAAAACATTCAGAAACAAACTCAAAGAATATGGCAAGCAGATTTTAATAATGACATTGAACCAACCTCTATTTTATAATCAGTATCCTGCAGCGTATATTTAATCCATATTCCAACCACTGCATTCCTCGCTCTCTTGATTTTCCAGATCCTTCTAATAATTTGGTTCTTCCTATGTTCATTTTCCATCCTCTTCTCTCTTACCATGATTATTACTTTTCCCTACTCAATCTCTATATTGTGGTTTTCCCCCCACTCAATCTCTATATTGTGGTTATTGAGTAATAGAATTTACTCATATATCTCATATGCATGGTGGATTAAATCAGAAATAAAATAAGCAGTGTGTTTGATTTTTGATCAATATTTTATATATTGATAATATATTTAAAAATAATTTAAGCATAATATATAAATGGAAAAGCAACCAGACTATCATTTTTACAGACCACATTTCCTATTAACTTCTCTGGAAGGAAAATAAGAGCATGAAAATGGAGAGAAATTCTCTTATTGCATAATCCTTTTAGAAATCCATTTAGAAATACACCGTACTACAGTAGTATAGTTGAGAAGTACATTCTTATGGTACATTATTATTGCCTTACCCGCACTATTTGAGTGTGCTGTCTTTCAACAGCAAGGTGCAGTGCAGTTTGTTGATTTACATTCTGAATATCCAAGTTAGCTGTGCCCTGAAAGAGAAATCCCAAATGTTACTCATATTAATTGAACTGAACTATCAGGGTAACTTGCGAAAGAAAATATATGATAGCATAATTAAAAATACTAGACTATTATTTCTCCACTGTTAAAACCAACTAAAAAAATGTTATATATTTTATGAAACTGAATTAATTTTTATATTTTTTCTATTTTGCACTTATCAATATTTTCCACGAATCAATATTTGATATGGAAAGTTTATGAAATGTTTCATTAGTTGTTTTCAAAATTTAAGAAGAATTTGATCTACTGAAATAACTTAATATTTTTCACAGTACAGCCACTCTTTGTTTAGGGATACCTCATTTAGTGATCACTCAGAAATATGATGCAAAATCATTTTCTGACCAGTGCCTACACTTACCAACGAATTTTAGAACCTGACAACAAAAGCTTTCAGTGTGAAGCAGATTAAGGTCTGATCAGTTCGGGGCAGCAGTAGCAGCTGGTGGGAGAGTTCTAATAAACTAATTAAGTTTATAGGGCTAAGCTTGTTCACTTGAGGTTAGTACTTTTTAGGGAAGCACTACTCTGTGGAGGAAAGCAGCACGGGAAGAAATACATTGTTTAAGCAATCTCTCTGCTCTGCAAGGGCACAAAAGGCTGTGTGTGTGAAAAAAATGAAAAGAAGGGGGGAAATGGGTCAGGCACAGGACACTATATGAGATAACTTTATCTAAATGAGAAGCAACCAGTGATCTTTGCAGCAACTCTCTCTCTGTCACATGTTTGTCTAATGACCATTTACACCTGCGTGATCATTTAGTTACCATAGCAATTTAAGGAATAGATTTTGGTTATTAAATAAGGAGATGGTGTATACAGTACTGAGACAATTTATGTATACGAATTTATGAGTGGACATAATCAACTTACCTCTCTGGTCAACTCAAACAATAGCTCAAACATTTGCTCTGGCTTAGAACAAAATATAGCTTCTGAATGAAAAACTAATTAATAGTAATACATTAAACTAATATGCCATCTGACTCTGAACAACTTTGGCAGTTGATATTACAATAAAATCAATAAAACATAAAAAAAAGAAAGATAAAAGATAGCAAGTGTTATGGAACAAGGGTTTTCACTTCACTCTGGGTGAAGAGGGCTCTTTTAAACAACAGCAAAATGAGGGGCAGAGGTGGGGAATTCAAATCACAAGGGGAGACTTGTTCTAGAGGGCAGACACCACCATCAAGAAGATGTATTTTTTAAAATACGTTTATTAAGAATTTTAATTACAATAATAAAAACTAATACAAACTAAACTTAGAGAAAGAGAAGAGAATGGGGAAAAAATAAATAGTGCAGGAAAAAGAAATATAAAGTGATTTCCAACTTTCATCACAAGTATAAACAAACTTAACAAATCTTCACTCTATAAGGTTAAATAGGTAATTCTTCATTCCATATTCCATCCTTTATCTACTATAAGCAAATCCATAAAATATCCCCATTTCTATCCTGAAAGTTCATAAAGGATTGTCAGAACATTGCAAAAAATGACTTATTTTAACCTTGATCAAATAAATCAACTTTATATTCCTTCCTTTTTCTTTTAACAGTCTTAATTTACATCAAACAAATATTGTCAAAGAAGTTTTCTCTTTAATTCTTTATTCTATTACATAGATCTCTTCAAATTTTTAACAAGCCTCTTTTGTAGATCCAATAAGAAAATATTTTCCAAGTCATTCTCTTGGTTTAGCATTTGTAGCTCCCTTTTAATTTTTAAAACTTCAGTGTTTCTTTTGTATATCTAGGTTCAATTTCATAATATTATTTCTAGCCAATTTTTCTAATTAATTAAGCTCCTTTATTTTATTTTTGTCTCCTAGGATACTAAGCCCCCTAAATAACTAACCATCCAATTTATGATTATTATACCCACACATTATGTCTCATATTTTGATGAGAAACCATTTATGAACATTGTTCAAGTATGATTTCCAATTATGTATCAATTAAAGGGTCATGCCAACCAGATTACAATTACGCAGCTTGCTAATCAGACTGTCATGGGATACTCTGTCACATACTCTGTTTAAATTAAGATGTATTATGCCTGTAGCTTTCCCAAAAACTAAACTGCCTGACCAAAAATGTGATTAATTAAATTAACAAGGACTTGGACATGATTGAATGGAAGGAAATAAACCCAATACAGTTCATTTGGTAATCTAGGATGCAATTTATATGACTTAAATTCATTCAAAATAAATGGGCATTCTATAGCTATTTTTTATCAGTAACAAGTTTCAATTCTATCACTTCATCTGGCTTTTCCTACATGCTGTTTTGTTGGAGAAGAGTGAGCGTAGTGACTGAATGGCTCCATTTTCTTATTTTATCTTGGTTACTGGCTGTTATTTTGTCATTATCCTAAGCTTAGTGGCTGGTATATTGTTCTATTTTCCTTTATTTTATTTTGAACATAGTTGAACTTTATTCATTCATTATATTTTCAACTTGCTTTAACCTAGATGCTTTCTATAGCATAACATATTTGCTCAGAAATAAATTTCATTTATTTCTGAGCAAATATGGATATTATAAAGTTCAGTGTTCTTTTCTTTGAATAAACTATATATTTCAATTATTTAACTAAGGGATTCATCTCACAAAAGTGGCTATATAAATTAGAAAAAAAGAAATATATGCATCTCCAAAATCTCAATAAAATATCCAAGTACAAGATAAGATAGCTGATTATATTAAAGCTTAGTTTCTGGAAACCTGTGCTACCCCCACTATGCTATCCCTAAGAGAATCAGTAGTAACACAATAAATGTCTTAATAATTAATTTTAAAAAGTACCTTTATCTGGATGTAAAAAATGGATTGTAAGCAAATGTATGCATCTATTTGTAACAAATAATACATTCATTCTTTCTGGCATGAAATCAATTAATAGGAAATTTTACCTGATGTACCAAAAGTTCTGCTACTTCTACATGATTATTAAGTGCTGCCAAATGCAAAGCAGTGTATCCGTCATCTTTTTTTTCATCTACAATCCATGGTCTTGGAAGCTTAGACAGTAACACTCTCATTGCACTGAAACAGACAAAAATGTAAACGATTATATCAGTATTAACTTCTAGAAGGAATATAATTTTCCATTTAAGTGTAACGTCCCAAAACGCAGTGATTATATTGCCAGGAGTTTTTATTATTACTGAAAAACTGGTTTTATATGACATACTATCCATTCTATTAAACCTTAACATTCTTTCTCAATTAGATAATGTAATGAAATCCATGTTAGCTATTCTAGTAATCCATGTCCAGTTCTTCTGAGTTTTATTCATATTGTCTTATACATCACTATAAAAGTATGTTAGTTTACTATATTTTCAGTACTAATACCTATTTTACAATCATTAATAGGGTAATGATTTAATTCCCCTGAACTTAGTAGGGCTTACTTCTGAGAAAATGAATGTATAATTTCATAAGAAAATGCATTTTCCAAATACCCTACTCAGTTTGCCACATGCAATATATACAGATATTTATGACTGCTTAGTTACCATGAGTGGGCAGCCTAGAAATCAGAGAAATAAATAAATAAAATCTAGAAATGGTATGCTTTGAAAATGGGAAGGAAGTCTCTATTTTCAACACTATCCTGTATCTCACATTTATTTACTCTTCCCCCTTGCCTCAAATATCATTACTTCATGTTTGAAAATTATGTTCCTGCAGTTCATACACCACCTGCTGTGCTTCAATCTACCATGCTGACATTACATACTTTCTTTCTCCAATTATATATGAATGGAATTTTGTATTGGAATTCATAATGGCAATATGAGGTGTTGTACATGTGTGTAGCTTGGGGGGGTTGGTCTGTATAACAAGTATGATGTGTGTGTACTTTTGTGCAGCTTGGGGAATGTGTTTGTTTCAATCTTCCCCTCTTAAAAACTTAATTTACCCTTCAAAACTATTCTTTTTAAAAGGCAACTTCAAATGCTTTTAAGTCTTCCTTTCTTTGCCAGACATTATATAAATCTTTTCACATTGATCACAATATAAGAGTTAGAAAAACTGAGGACCAGAAAACCTTGGTATAGTTTACTGTTTAAATATATTTATATCCTATCTCAAAAACATTTTTCAAGGTAGTTTACAGATAATTAAAACCCACAAATAGATTCATTAGAAAGATTTTGAAAGCTATCAAATAGTCTTTTTTAAAAAAAAACAAAAAACCAAACAGTTAATGGAACAATAAACACAGTGGGGAGGGGAGAATCAAATACCTACCACCCAATGTATCAATTCCATATATGGAGTGCCATAAAACAAATCCTTTCACTAGTAGCCATTTAAATAATGAAAATATGGGCATTGCTACATAGATTTATCAAGGTAAGGTAGGTTTATGAAAAAAAATACAAATCTAGAGATACATCTATCGTAGATATAAAATATTCTTTCTGGGTGGTTATTTAAAGATACTTAACAGAGGGATCCAATTACTTACACTCTCATGAGCGATGGACTACTAACTTCTGTATCTTACCAATCATCAGCTCTCCACAAAAAGAGCAATTAAAGTTATACATTTGTAGAATGTTTTACAGATCTAATTGTTATTGTTATTGACATTTTGTCAAGATAGAACACAAACCACATTTAATGTACAAATGAAATTAAGAAAAATTCAAAAAATGTTTTTTTAAAGACGAGCACATTAATGTTAATATACACATATTCCTAAAATATGCTGTAGTTTTCTAAAATAAAATGCAAGTTGTAAGTTAAAATTTCAATTGTCAATTTAAAGTTAAAACTAAGAACATAGTTTCTGCCATCCTGATTATTAAAAAGGTTTGATTCTTTACTCCATAGTGTATTTAATTATTTTTCCACAAAAGTTTTCTAAAGTTTTTGAAATGTTACTTCATTCTGAATTTCCTCTTACTATCTTGCTTTTATTTCTAGAAGAATAAACACAATGACTGAGATATCAGAATTTGAACATCAGTGAAAAAAAATTATAAAAACTTAAATTGAAACATGCAACCCAATTTAATTTGATATCACAGATATAGAGACTGAGTAGTAAAACTGCAGGATGAGCCATCAACAGGCAGAGTAAAAGACAGAGGCACCGTTTGTTCCTGGAACAGCAACCAACAGTTGAGATACTATTTTTTGCAATGGTTGACTAAATATGGTCAGGGAAGAGAGAGGCAAAAGACAGCCTGGGAGTGGATGTTTCAAATGCCTGGCTGCCTATAAAGCTGAAATAGTTTTGCTAGTGCCCTGAGTAGCAAATGGATTCATGCTAAACAGCATGCATGTGGAAGTCCTGACCTCAAGAGCAGTGTTTGACCTCTAAAAATGAAAAATAACTACAAGCAACCTGTCTGGGAACTAAAATTCAAGCATGAAGAAATCATGTCCTCTATCTATGGAGAAAGAAACAATACTTGCTTGAGAAAGGGGGATGGATGAAGTTGTATGCTGGTTTTTTTTAAATTTTTTATAATCTCATGAACATTTTTGAATTATTTTCAATTATCTAAACAAGATGAGATTATCCTTCTTCTTTGGGTTTTTCTAGCATCTACCTTGGATATTTGTGTTTTCTGTCCAGCAGGTTCAAGAAACTTAGTTCTATGCACAACACCTAAATGGTTAGGAAAACACAACAGATACCTTGTAAGATATGTGCTCATATTTTAATTATACTTGCTTTATAGTGAAATATGTATTCATTTTCACCTCTCTATTGCTTCCCCCCTCCCACATAATGAAGAGCTGAATCAGCGATAGAGTGAACATTCAAGATGAGATGGCTGCTGCTGATGTCTCTCTCTAGGTCATCCTACTGCAAATGCTGCATGATAAGCTTACAGGTAATAGAGCATTAGAAGACCTGAATTATTCTACAGATTTAAAGGATTAATATCTGCATGTATTTTTTAATAATTTGTGTATTTTTTATATTAATCTCAATTGCAGTTTAACATACTACTAGTGTGCTTAAATATCAAGTATTTCTAGTGTAAAGTGTTAATATGGGAAACAATCAGCTTTGAGTAATATCATAGCTTAATACTGTTGGACAAGAAATCTTGTCAATTATATTTTAAGTATTATATCTACTAATAAGTTAGCATTTCAAAAAATATTAATTTTGCAGAAATGCATTACCCCATTGTTACTTTTACATTACCGGTATATTCTGGATCCATTCCATTATATATAAAAGGATAGGATAAGGCATGATTTAGTAATAAAGTACTTTTACTAAGAGATTAAAAATATTATTTTACAGCATAAGCAATATAATTTAAATTTGAAACAAGCAAGTTGTAATTGTTCTGCTGCATTGCTGTTTCTTCTTGTAGAATTGTGCTAGCTACTGCTAGTCTCTGATTTGCTCTCTATCAGCTGCACTAGGTTTTTCTCTTGAGCTGCAGAAACTGAACAACTGGTTTTCTTTGACATGATGAACTGGGGCTTTTTTCCCTAATTTTTGAAAATGTGTAAGTAATGGATGAATGTTGTTGTTCTGATTTTAAACATACTTTACAAAAGGATTTATGTATCATTTAAAATGAATTCTCTACATTTTTTTTAATCTAATTTTTTTGCAACCTGATATTGGGGTTTTGTCTTATGATTAATACGAACCCAAAGATAAACTACAGTATCAGCCAACTAAACCTGTGACGATATATGAGCTACTAAATTTACAACAATTTTGACATGAAAAAGTACATTTTAATATGAACTTTTCTAATTTGAAAATGTTCTGCAAAAACTAGTTCACATTGGTTTGAATTAAAAGTAAACGCCAAATCTTCACATTTGCAACTTATTTTCTTTCTTGGAATATAATCAGCTATTTATTCATCTATATTCTCATTAATTATAAAATACAACAATTGAGATTCTTCCCAAAAGCATACATCGTTACAAAATAATCATTTTTTTCCACTTCACCAGATACTAATATAAATATGATAAAATATGAGTGAGGACCAATGATAATGCAAGCTCAGAGTGGAATAAAGAATACATATTACCATTTCATGAAGGTATTTTGTATAATCAAACTTTGGTGAAATCATGCTGTTCACCAGGCTTAATAGCCAATAAAAAGCAACAGAAACTTAAAAAGTACCTGAATCTTCATGAAAGAACAATGGTTTTTAATGTGTTTTAAATTATTGTACAAATAAAATATAGAAAGGTGTTAATTCTTAGTAATAAGGCCAGATGCTAAGAAACAAGAGCAAAAATGTGTTTTTAAAATTCACCAGGAACAACTATTTTATACTTTAGGCTAAAAAGGGGACGAAATATGGTTCAGTTTTATCCAGCAGATAGCAGCTATGAAAACCTGCCCAGAGCACATACTTCTTTATGTACCCATATGAACATACAATATTATGGAATGTAAAGAAGTATGTACTTTTGGCAGGAGTGAACAACCAATAAAAGAAAAATAAACTATATTTCACGTGAAAGACATGGCTTTTTAAAGTGAAGATAACATGTAAAAGGATCAAATGAATATTAGCATAGAACATCATACTGGAGCGAGGAGGGAAATAATGGGACAATTGTTTAAAGAACTGATAATAACAGTATTGCTCAATCATTTATTTATTTGTTTTAATTCAAAACGTAAATAAAAACACCTACAACGCAACATACAATGCAACAGCAAACAAAACCAATTACAGAATGATTTCTGGATCATAATTTTGAAGACCACAATAAGTATTGCTTCTGAACCTTAAACAAACCTCCCAATGTGATCTCTTGTCTAACCATCCACATTAATATTAAAATGATCAATCAAGAATATTTCTTAGAATATGAACCTGTGAACATAAAATATGGTTAAACATAAAATATGGTTCAAAAAGTAGGCTTTTTCATGTATGCTAAAATGAACGTAAAATATTATGACAAAGACTTTTCTCTCTGTTTTTCTACCTAACTTTCCCATTAGAAATCCACCAAGCATTTATTGGCACATTGGCACCTTCGTTGCATTTGGCACAAACGTTATGTGTCTAAAATTGCCTTGTTTCCACTGAAGATTCAGTGCAAGAGTTTATTAACTCTTGACTTTATCTCATTTGTGGAGGAGGAGGAAGCATCATGTACTCTTGCATGTTTTATTTATTTTTATCCTAACTTTATTATTTTTTATAAGTAACTCAAGACAGCAACCACACATAATACACCTTTCTCTTCCTATTTTCCCCACAACAACAACACTGTCAGGTGGATTAGACTCTTAGTAACTTGGTCCCTAGCTTGGTGTTTTAACCACTGGAGTAAATTGGTTAAAGATAAAGAATTAATTATACACACACACACATGCACTGAGCTAGCACAGGCAAAGTGGGACTCTATAATCACTCCATGCCTTTAATTTTTCCATTTGCAAGCATGTCAATAGAATTTAATTGGCTTGATGTACAAGGAATGTGTTGCACCACTGAGCTGAAGCAGGGCCAGGAATTTGCTCTTTTAGCATCTTTTCAGGGACATAATTAGTCTACTGGCTGCTTAAAGCCCCTATTTTATTTCATTTTATGAAAAAAATCTGTGGGGAATTGTGCCGCTATTTGGCAGTGCTAGCCTGTGAGATATTAGAGCCTCAAAAAGAAGAAGAGATTGCTTGCAACACATGGCTTTCTCACCTATTTGAAACCATTGCTGCAGCTGGAAATAAAAAAGGATGAATTAAATAAAGTTCCTCGTTATATTAAATGTACATTAGTCAAAATTAAATCTGAATAGTATATCATATTTATTTAACAAATATAGTATTATGTTTGATAGGGAAAATATTACTGTATTCTGTAACTGCCAAGGCAATCTTCACCCGCCTTTAAATGTTCAAAGTATAAGGATTTTTTTTGCCAGATGGTAACAGCACACATGCTAGAATGTGTGTGGATTAGACAATTTTGTATTTTCTTTTTTCTAACATGGTTCCTTTTTGTTTACTTTGCTTTGGTCTATGACTTAAAAGATGTTGTAGCAAGCAAATATCAATAACCTATATGTCAGAGTAAGTCTATATTTTGAAAGTTTATTTCATCAGATGAAAAGTAAATCAGCTTAAATTTGGCAATCTTTTCATTCCTATCTGCAAAATTAATTAAGATGTTTTTTAAGGTAGAATATTTTTATTTCATTCTGTTCAGAGAATTGTACAGCTAAAAGGTCAGCATTCCCATTATTTAATATTAACCTAATTATTTTTAGGAGAAAATCAATACTGTTTAGGTAAATCTTGTTTTTAAAATATCTCATTATTTTAAAAAGAATTTATTTTAATCCCTCATGTTTAGTTACATGGAAGTTTTATTGGTTATACAAAGGATATTAGTATGTAAAATATATAATTTTCTGTCTGAAAATTCAAAGTAGGCTAAATGGGATTAAACTTTATAGTATATGACACCTAGGCTCTTAGGTGTTAGTTCTTAAGAATTTAACAATACATTTGTTATTTAAACAGAAACTAATTTTTTTCTGCAAATAAATTGTTCTACACCTTCACTAAACAACTAATTATAATTCATTGAGTAAATGTGCAAAGCAGAAATAAATATTGGTATTGTCATTAACACATTTTATTCTATAATCAACAGATTGATGATCAGAGAACAGCCTTCATTAGCAACAAAGTTGGCAAACCTGTCTGAATTCTATGAAGCACTGCCTATTTCTAATAATAAGTCATCTGAGCAATAAATTAAATATTAACTTCTGTAGGGTCACATTTTAAAAACGATGATGGTTTATAAAGTGAATAACATACTTTGTACTTTTGCCCAAAACATAATTATACAGCAGCACTAAAGCAAGCCTTAGATAGAATGATGTATGCAGCTTTATAAAAACAAATCTTAATACTTCTTTGAACATTGTCAGTCATGCTAAAATGTCACCTCCCTTACTTATGTCAGCTGCTGAATTCTAACTAAGTACAAACTGAACTCTGGACATCTGCTGACACAGTTGAAATTCAGACATCTCAACCATTTGACTGACAAGGATAACAGATGCTGACATTATCAAATGCTGCTATACTTCTTTCCATGGTCACTTTTTGCCCTGATATAGCCAGTACATGAAAACTGATGCAATCTAAAAGAATACTTGAACAGCTGGACCAGTGCAGTCCCAATATTATTGACAAAAATAGATAAAGAGTTTTAAATGTTCAAGTTTTATATATGATAAATTTCTATTAAATCCTAAACATAAACATACTGAATATTTAGAGAAATCTTTCTTTGCAATAAAAAATTTCATATAAATTATGCATTATTACAGCCCAAATTAATCTTACCCCAATTTAGCATGGCTTAAAGTTTACAGGTCTTCAAATAAGATGCTGTTCTACACTTAAAAATGAATCCCATTTTATTAACTAAAACATATGCATATTAAATTATATGCTGAAGTATGATAACTATATGCCAAAAATGATGAAATCGTTTTTCAAAAACAGATGTAGATAAGAGTATGTATAGAACTAACCTGTTAACAGAAAAAGTCTTTCAAAATAAAACTCATTCTGGAAATATTAACCAGAGTTATACTTGAGAACAATTATAAAAATTTTGTGACACAGTTCTCTAATTCTTTTCAGTAAACGTCTGTAAAAATATATTCACATTCTCACCCAAGAAACGCAAATAACTAAGAAGGAGAAATTACTGCAAGCCATAACTGTTTTCTTCAATGGCTTAGGTTTAAGTTTATTTTTTCTACTTTTAATAATATAAAAATGAAGCATTATAAACAAAAATTAAAAGTAAGGGAGTATATGATTCCCCATATCTGATATTTATTTAATGGAAAACAGCTGTATGTTTCCTAAACTTCAATTTATTTATTTACTGAATTTCTATGGGCACCCATCTCATACAGATGGTTCTGGGCATCTAACAATTAAAATAGGACTAAAACCAGAGTAAAAAAGAAGTAGAATTGAAATTAGAAACAACATAAATAACATAACATAGCAGCAGAGAACACTCCTGACATCACACCTTCATTATAACCATGGCCAAGAAACTGGCTTACCCAAACAATCAGGGTCCCAGGCTTGATGGCAAAACTAGGTTTTCAATGCTTTGCTTAAGCTGGTAAAATGGAATCAAATCACATGTTTAATGGATTTGGTCCCCTTCAACCAGCTGTAGCTATGTATTGATCACTACAGGACAAGTGCTTTTATCAACTGGTTTTTAATAATAGGAATATTAAAAAGGGAAACTTATACAAAACTGACCATCAGAACCTATTCTGGGAAGGTTAACATAACTTTGTTCCTTTTCTTTTTTTCCAAGTCATGTTTGATTCCTGAGGATTTTATAGATGCATTCATTTGGTTTTCTTGGCAAGAATACTGAAGTGGTTTGCTATTACTTTCTTCCAGTTTTGACTTTTCATTGTAGCCTACAGTACAGCTATTTCTTAGCCATTATCTATCCAAATAATAAGTTGGTTTGATTTTGCTTAGCTGAATTACTAGATACTATGCTTCCAAAAGAAAAGATATGAATTAGAAATCGAACATGTACTGTAGGAATTTTACTCTGTGAAGACTCCTCTTCTGTATTCTGAACTGACTGGAGCAGAAGCTAATGTAATTTCAGCACTGGTGATGGAACATAATCTTCTACCTGAACTTTAAGAATTTTGGAACTAATTAGACAGCTGGTATGGCATGAACAGTTTTGCTATCAACAGAGGAAATAACCTGGAACACAGAAGGAAGACTTAGACCGGAACTGCTGTTGGTGGTCTACATTCACTCCAGAATTCACCACCTAAGGTGACTATCTGCAAAGGCTGAAGCTGCCAAGGGCAGAAGTATAGTTTTAAAAAATAAGATTGTATCCAAACACTGTTCAGACACTCTTAGAATGGGCAGGAAAAATCGTTTATCACATAGGGTGGGGGAAAAAAGAGACAAAAAAATTAAACCCTGAACCTGACATATTAACATAGTTGGATTAATAAAAACTGCAGTAGTTGATCTTTGTTATTAGGGCAACATATTTTTCAATAAAAGCATTTTATGTATTTGAACTTTGTTCTTTCTTCCACTGCTAGGCTCATGACTGCATGTTTGCTTTCCTAGATATTCATTTCCATGCCCAGGATGAAACTATAACAAGAACTGGCCATTCTCAGGTTAGATAAAACCATTATATAAACAATGAATGATATTTCACAATCTCAAGTACAGGAAGAAAATGTTCAAATTTCTCTAGATGCAAAAAAGCAGAAGGAAAAACTCTAGAATTTAAATGGAGGAAGAGGGAGAGAAGGAGGAGGCAGCGATCTAAGTTCTGTAGTACATAGATTTTCTCCACATGTGGCTTTTATCTTTCTGCAATAAAATAGTTTATCTTGCACTGTTGTATTTGTGAGTTTATGGGGTTGTTTGTAGAGTCAATATTTATTGCTGTGCCTGCCATTAAATCTAGTACCATCTAGCATACATTAGTAACTTAAGAAAGCAAAATACCATTTCCTCAAAAGACCCACCAGAAAATAAGCCCTAGCATGATTTTTTTCAGGATGCTTGTAATATAAGCCCTACCCCAAAAATAAGCCCATTAAAATTGTCAGCCAGACCGACGCATTTAGTACCATATTTCCCCGAAAATAATACCTAGCAGGAAAATAAGCCTTAATGCGCCTTTTGGAGCAAAAATTAATATAACAACTGGTTGTATTATCGTAGAAACAGAGGTATAAGGTAGTGATCACTAAGTGAAAGAGTTTTTAAAAGAGAAAAATTTATCGTTCCCTATTAGCTATAGTAGTTTAGGGGCAATCTTCAGATTTAAATGCAATTTGTCTAAAAATAACAGATACAGAATGAAATTAGGTAAGAGAATTATATTTATGTTTTACTGTTCATTTTTGGAATTTTGGGTTAGACTTTGGATCTTTTCCCTTATGGCACACAGATGGGATCTCATAGACAATGTTTTTATCATCTACAGAAGCTAAAGATACAGTTAAAGCTGATTCTTCACTTTCTGCATATGCAACAAAATAAAGAATTAAATTAGTATCAACTAGAAATAGGATGACAAAAATATATTCAACATCTTTTTTTCCCCATTAAATTAACACTGTCCTAAAACATAAATTAAGCTAGTGTCTGAATAAAAATATCATTAAATTACAAGACGTCAGTGAATTACTATTGGATAATGTATTTTCCCATCTATTACTTTGTAGTTTTCAACCCAATTCTGAAGGTCAGTTTTGAATTAATATGCTAACCCCAATCTAAAAAGACGTGCTGCCAAATAGATATACACACCTTTGATTCTACTACTTCCTTTCATAATTGAGATATCTGTGGAAGACATTTTTTTCATCCAAATATAGAACTACAGGTTTCTGACTATTAGCATTACGTTGTTAACAACATTCACATTAACCATTACAGAATGATTAAGTGGCAAATGTACTAGCCAAAGCTCTGGCTCATGGTATGCCAAAGATTAAGTATGCATCCAAACAACAATGAACACCATTTTCAGACATTGCAAATCACATATTGTTAACTATGGTTTCTAATAGATTTATTAAAGTGATACTAACTTACAAAAAGTAGTACCAATTCTGAGAACAGGCACATATTCTTCTGATAGTGCACAGTATTCAAATTCAAAATGAAAAAGGTGCTTTAAATTTGGCATGATCATCTCACTGAAACTTTCAGTGGCATTTTAAAAGTTGGGTCTTTTCCTGGCTTCGAAGCATGCCCAAATTATGCTACTGACAAGTACAACAGACATGTACATGCTAAATCCAATATACTTTTCTCACTTTGGAACTGAATACCCTTAATTGCTATTGTCTTAATCAGGTAGTATATCAACTTTTGGTATACATTAGTCAATTAGGAGAGAAACATGGGTAGAATTTCTAAATGAACAGATAGTTAATGATTACAGAATATTACTTTAAAAATTCAGCCAATAACCCTCTTTATGCATTCATTTCCATTCACTTTTGAGCAAGAGCAATTTTAGTTACAATGACTTACCAGCTGGTGATGACATAAATTATAGCTTGTAAACTTAATTACAAGTTTTGGATTATCATAGGCTGATTGAAAATTAAGCTTTTTAAAAAGTAGTCAGATCTAAAGAGAGTCCATGGCTGAAATCAGAAAATGTATGATGTGATAATGTGCTTCACAGGCACAAGAAGAATGTTAGTGAATTGGGCCAGTGGCCTGTCCAGTCCAGCACTCTGTATAGAGTGACCAATCAGATGCATTAGACCAAACATGGATAGGACAGTGATAGTCCTATACTGTTGTTGCTTCTCAGATAAATAGTATCAAGGTTCAGAAGACAGGATCAAAGACCTGAAAAAAATACCAGGGCTGTAAGCTGGTCTAGAAAGTCAAAAAACATCCCAGAGGAAGAGGCTCAGAATTCAATTTTGAATTCATCAGGAGTCAAGCTCAATTCAAGGGCATCTTTATCTTATCTGCAATCGCAAAAGAACCAAACAGCCAACAAGAATAGTAGCTACTGATGGAATTTATTTCAATGCTTTTCTCTTACCATTTTTAAAACTAAGTCACCCATCATGTCTGATGGCAGCAAATTCCAAAGTTTAACCATAAGGCTTGGGCAAAGCCTTTAAAAGAGAGGCTTCATAACATGCATAAGCCCATATGAAGCATTTATTCACAAATCATTAAAGAAGCCATAAGGTTTGCAAGGCTCATGCAGCTGCTTCGAAAGAGGCAAAAGCAAAGCCAAGTGGTTTGTGTATGACCACACATATGGAAATAGACAAGAGCAGCTGCACAAGCTTTGCAAGCATGCTTTAGCAATTTGAAAAGAAAGGCTTTGTATACATGTCCACATGTTAGAAGCACTTCTTTAAAGGCTTTTCATAGTTCTGTTAATTATTCATTCCGTAAAGTAGTCAGTAGTGTGAGGGGAGAGGGGAAACGACAAGGGAGAGAATATCAGATAAAAGCCCCCCTCCTTTTCTTCCTATGTTGCAATTCTTGTCACGTATCCAAAGAGGCGTAGCTTGTAGCACAACTACAATATTTTAACAGAAAGACAAAGATCCTGTGGAGGTGCTAAAGGTGGTGCTTTGTTTTATTAGGCTTAAACATCCTCCATAATTAGTTTCAATGGGCGATTCTGAGTTTTAACATCACAACAGAAAAAGCAAAATGTTATACTGCTTCGGTTGGCTTTGACTTTGCATAATTGGTTTGTAACCTGTGTGTATTAATTATAATATCAGCATTGTTATTCCGCAAGCTTTGATCCCATTCCTCTGCCCAATTTAAACAGCATGCCTCAAATTCACTTCTTAGTCTGTTAGTAAGAAAGCTGATGGGGTAGAACTTGGGCATGTATTTGTTGTCACAATGCTGCTTCACATTAAATTTGCATGTTCACATTTTTTTTCTCTCGTCTTAATTTTTGCAAAATAAAGTAAATGTAATTCTAGATTGCGTCATGATGCTTTTACAGATTGTAGTTGCATGAGAACAAACACCTGACTGCACACAAAACAATTAATTATATGAATAATTTAGTATAACCTGCATTTGTTCAAATACTCACTACATCAATTCTATAGTGTTCAATGCTATAATTTTAATACCTCAACTACTGAGCTATAGAAAAATTAATGTTAAAACTCTTCTGAATTAATTTTAACATTTTTACTATAACACTATGCTTATCAAACATTAGAAGGCAGTAAACCTATACAATACCTTGGATTTCCCCTTAATGCAGCATGATGAAGAGCATTAAATCCATTGTTATTTGTAATAGTAACATCTGCTCCAGCTTCCAGGAGGACTGCTAAAATGTCATCACGCTTTTTGCTTATTGCGTCATGCAGAGGAGTATCACCCTCAGAATCCTAAAAATAAATATTAGTCAATTTATATCAATTTATCTCCCTCCCTAACCAGAGATTCGCCTTAGCCGGTTGTTCCGATTCTGCACAATTTGGAGAACTGGCAAATTGGACCACCGGCTGGCCCTGTTCCCGCCCGTTTTTTGGGCCATTTTCAGGCTGTTTTTCCAGCCAAAATCAGCCCGAAAAACGGCCTGAAAACGGCCCAAAAAACGGCCTGAAAATGGACCAAAAAAGCTGGCTGTGAAAGTAAGAGAAGCCGGGTGAGCCAGACCTAGACGTGTACTGGGTCCCCTTGTCCCAGAAGCAGCAACCTCATACTCTTCCCCTCTCTGCTAACCCCTTCTTCACACGGGATTGCCGAGCAATGGAGACTGAGAGGGAGAAGGGGATGGCGTTTCTATGTGGCACTCTCCTCTCAATGCTAGTGGCCACTGCTCCTTTCTCCCTCGAGCGCATGGGCGATCCCATGCGAAGAAGGGGGATAGCAGAGAGGGGAGAGTGCAAGGTTGCTGCTGGGATGAGTAACCTGGTAAGCATCTTACCCAGCTTCTCTTCCTCTTGCAGCCAGCTTTCTCAGTCTAGCTTGACACAGTGTCTCTCTCTCTCTCTCTCCCTCTCCCTCTCTCTCTCTCTCTCTCTCACACACACACACGTAGGATCTGTCTTTCCTCCCACCCGCCCGCCCTCACCGGAGACCCCTGGATTCCCTCCCCAACCCTGCCTGTCCCCATACAGGTACCACCCACACAAGTGATGTAGAGTTGGCCACGCCCACTTAGTCACATGAGCCACCCATCAACTCCCACCCATCAATGCCCACCCAGCCAGTAATTATGGCAGAGAACCGGTTGTTAAAAAATTTGGAGCCCACCACCATCCCTAACTACATATCAAACTTCAAGAAAAAAATAGCTACATATGAAAAAAATAGTTGATGTTTGGACAGAATACATCTGTATAATTTTGAATTGACTTGATCTTAAATTAGCACAATCCTCTGTGTAAATGTTAAGATGCCTTATACCATGAAAGGCATCAATTCAATGCTGTTTCCCCTAAGCACAGAGATATTATATTACAGATGGAGGAAAAGAATTGCCCTAAAATATTTTAAGCTTACTCAGTAATAATATCTTAAAATACAAGTGATTTAATATACCTTTTATCACTGACTATATAAACTAAGATTGATATGGAATGCTGATGAAGCATATTTCTGGCAAACAATCCCAATAGAAGGGGAAAGGCTATTGTTTCAGGCCATAAACTGTAGAGCTAGCCTCAAGCACAGAAACTATCAGACAGAACACCTACAGAAAATATTTATGGGTATGATCTATCAGTGCAATAAGAAAACAGATGTCTTGAAAGCAATTTCAGAGAAAGTTCATTTGATGCTGCCTTTTCGAATAGAAAGAAAAATGCCACTTTAGTATCCCAATAAAAAACAATGTAAAAAAATCAAATTAACATACAACACAATAAATTTCTATAGAAATAGACAGTTTAACTAAATAAATGTCCCCCATCTATGCAAAAGAAAACCCAGCAAAGTTCATTTAAAAAGAAATATCTTGATATAAGAATGTAATAAGAGCTTTGCTGAATTTAGCCAACAGCATATTTAGCTAGACACCCTGTTCTTTTATTAAGTTCTCAAGTCCCTCTTGACAAACATCTGCATCAATAGCCATTGGGTGGTAGCAAAGGCAGGTAAAACGGAAACAGACCAACAGTGTCACAAAACTAAAAGACCACAAAAGTATTCCTGTTTACAATGGTGTGCTTTTCTATTTAGAAATAATTGTTCCTCAAATTTTATAGAAACCAAAAGCACTGCTCTTAGTTTATTCATCTACATCACATCTAATCTACCATCACCTTCAGTATATTCAATGCTTCCATACATCCTGATAAGAAGGATGGAAAGCTAAACATTACCATGTTCTGATATTACACTCCAAATTATAACTTGGAGGCTAACCCTATTTAATATTTCAAATTTATGTACGTATGAAAAAATGCTCAAATTGCGTTCATAATAAATAAATAAAAAGTAAACAGCAAGTTAAATTACCTGGAGACTAGGATGGCAACCAAAGTCCAGTAATGTCTTCACAACTTGGAGATGACCTTTATTCACAGCAATATGAAGTGGTGTCTGTCTACGCTTATTGCGAGCATTGAGATCTGCACTGCCTCTATGTAAAACTTCTATCACAGCTCCTTCATCACCAAAGGCTGCATGATGAACAGCCCTGTCTCCATCTTTGTCCTAAATAATTAAAATTCAGCTGCATAATATTTTTGTTCTACAATTTAATGGGAGACTTTTAAATTGTTGTATATAGTTAATAAAAGGATGCAATGATATAAAGCATCAATAGTAGATGATGTGGGTGTATAGTTCTACTTCACATTGAGACAGAATTAACATATAAAATAGCAACAACAATAGCACTTAGACTTGTATACCGCTTCATAGTGCTTTACTCTGTAAGCGGTTTACAGAGTCAGCATATTGTCCCCAACAATTTGGGTCCTCATTTTACCGACCTCGGAAGGATAGAAGGCTGAGTCAACCTTGAGGTGGTGAGGATCAAAATCCTTGCAGTGAACTGAATTAGACAGCAATACTGCATTCTAACCACTGCACCACCATGGCCACTGCACCATCATGGCTCCTAGCAACTTATTTTGCTGTTAAATATTAGTTACAAGTCATAGCCAATTGTTTATAAGAGAGGAACTTTACTTATGAACTGCTGTATTAATAACTTCTAATACTTCCTGGATGCAATCTTCAACCTACTCAATAACTCAATTTCTAGTGCAAAGAACCATCCATGGTACAGCAGTAGTATAATCTGTAAATTCCAAGTTTCTTCCCCTTTATAGGAAAATATCTATTAATCTCAATTCAGCAAAATTGGTTCAAGTAACCATAGTTAATTGGTTAACTAGTTGAGTGAGTATACCTGCATTTTATTGTCCTGACTTTATTTTACACAAGGGAATGATTTTCTTTTTAAAAGTACGAAATCCTTAAATAACCCTAAAATAAGACCACTGACTATTACCAAATTAAATCAAATGAAAGGGACCCATTCAATAAGCTAGTTAAATAATTATATAACTAGCAATAAAAGAAATATCTTAGAAACAATAATTCATAACAATATTAGGCAATTTTGTTTTAAAATATTTAACTAATATTTTAAAATATAATACAGACATTTATAATTTATAATGTATAATAAATGCATTTTACTAAGTATTGTTAAACATTTAAGCTTTCAGATACCTCTGCTTCTACATCCACATTCTGTTTCAGAAGCAATTTCAAAATGTCAACATGTCCATTTTGACTTGCAGCTTGCATAGCAGTGTGTCCAGCGCATTGTCCATTCACCTAAAATATATTAATAAAATCAAAGTTTAAAATGAGACATTAATAATATAGCCCTGCTCATTAATAGCAGTATAATGTCAAGAATAAACAGTTAAAAGACAACATACTTACATTGTAAAAAATAACTTTTTGAGATCTGATTAATTGTCTTTCCAAATTAATAATGGAGCAAACATATCTTAGATCTATTAAAATATTTTAGGTTTATTCATACTGCCATAAATTATGAAAGAAAGACAGGATATGAACACATGAAGTATTAAAATATTAGTTTTAAAAAACTGAATTGGAAAAAAATTATCTGGGTGGCAAGTTAGGGTAATTTGAGAAGATTGGAGTAATTACCTGTTTTTCTAAACTTTATATCACTCCAAAGCAAAATAATTATTTAGAAGACATGATGTAATGTACACAATGTAAACATCTTAGAAAGCTAATTTTTGAAACATTTGAAGCAAAACAGTGCATTCAAAAAGCAATGAACCAAATGTTAAAGTGGGTAAGTCTTCCTATTTTTAAGCATAATTAACTTCCTATTTGCAACAGTAAAGATTGCGAAAGAAAAGTCTATCTTTATTTCGATTACAAAATGTTTTATCTTTCCAAGAACCTCTAATTATTGATCAGAAACTCTTAATTCCCCTTATTAGGAATGATATAATTAAATACTCACATCCACATCAGGTCTTTTAAGCAAATCTTCCACTTTTGCTACATCTCCATTAGCAGCTGCTTTAACTAGCTCCTCATTAAGATCCCCAGATTCTTGAGTTTCAAATAATTTCTTCAGTAACTGGGACAATCTCTCTGTGAATATTAAGTGAAACAATTAATATTACCAGGTGTATAGTATTTGAATGTAGTGTTGCATTTAAACAAAATATTTTTTATTTAATACAAATGTAACAATCAATCAATATTCCAATATTATTTGAAGTTGCTTTAACATTTGCTCTTGTCTAGATCATGACTGCATACTAGCATTTCCTACAATGGAAACATTATGGTGAAGTAGATATTCATGACTCTACCAAGATCAAGCTTAAATGTTATTTATCATCTGCTAGATAATGAAGGTTAGAAAGTTATTCCTGTTACAGGAAACGATAACAAAATACAAAGACTTACAATAGAGGCAATAGAAAGCAAAGGTAGTACCAATAGTAATAGACGCCTTGGGTGCTATCTCAAAACAATTGGAGCACCACTTGAATACCATCAGCATTGACAAATTCACCATCAGTCAATTGCAAAAGCAGCTTTACTTGGAACAGTTTACATCTTGCAGCAAAAATGCCAAATCCAGTCTGAACATCTGGGTGACTTATGCAATGAACCATTATAAAGAGAATAGTGCTCAACACTGTCCATATATACATCCAAGATATTGAAATGGATTTTGGACTTGACAAATGTGCTATCCTCACCGTTAAAATGTCAAAAAGTAATGAAAACTGAAGGAACCAAAATGCCCTATAGAAATAACCTCAAGAGTCTGGATGAAGACCTGGGCATCCTTCAAGCTGATACCATCAAGCATACCAAGTCCAGAAAAAGGTTAGAAGTGAATACATCAAAAGAGTGAATAAGATCTTAAAGTCCAAACTCAAGTGGAGAAAATACTATCAAGGCAATTAACACCTGGGCATTTCCAGTCATTAGATACACAACTGGAATAATGGACTGGACTCAAGCAGAACTATAAGCCCTGGAGAGGAAGACCCCAAAAATAATGACAATAAATCATGCCCTTCATCTTTGTAGTGATATTGACAGATTCTATTTACCAAGCAAAATAGGTGAACATGGGATGTTGGAAATACATCAGGTGGTTAAAGAAGAAAAAAGACCATCTCAAGGACAGTGAAGAAGATGCACTGAAGTTATACCAGGAAGGCTTTTGAGTACTAGAGAGACCAAACTACAAGAAAGACTAAATGAAGAACAGAAAACAGATATGGGAAGACAAAAAGCATGCAAAGCAGATAGTAACAACACCTGGCAATGGTTAAGAGCAGAAAAACTGAAGAAAGAGGCAGAGGAGCTAATTCTAGCTGTATAAGACCAAACCTTAAGAACAAATGCATACAAAACCAGAATTGAAAAGACAGCAAGTACCAACTCTGCAAAGAAGCTGAAGAAACAATGGATCACCTGGTTACCTGCTATTAGACGACTACAAACAAAGCATGACAAAATAATAAAAATGATGCAGTGGAAGTTTTCCAAGAAATACCATTTGTGGACAAGCAAGAACTGATGGGATCATAAAATATAGAAAGTTATAGAAAATGAAGAAGCTAAATTGCTCTTTACTTTAGAACTTTAGAATTCAAACAGACAGGGACCTGCCACATAACACCCCAGACTTAATAACTATTGATAAGAAAGACAAAAAAATCTGGATAGTGGACGTGGCAGTATCTGGAGATAGAAGAGAACGAACTAGAGAAGATAACAAAATACAAAGACCTGCAATTAGAAATAGAACAACTATGGCAAAAGAAACCAAAGGTAGTACCAATAGTAATAGGCACCTTGGATGCAATCCTAAAACAACTTGAACATCATCAGCATTGACAAATTCACCATCAGTCAATTGCAAAAGGCAGCTTTACTCAGAACAGTTTACATCCTGGGACAATACTTCTCACACTATCAAACATTAACATTTGCTTATCTCAGTCCTTTGGAAGAACTGAATAAAAATGTCAAACCCAGTCTGAACATCTAGTTGACTATGCGATCAACCATTAATATAATATTGCTAGGGGAATGGGGAAAGTAAAGTTACAGAAATCTGTGAAGAATAAAAATGAAAATAGCAAACAAAAGGTAGGTATAATAAAACTTAAAACACATAACATTTGAACAATTACTGTACAATAGGAATAAAGTTGTTGAATAAAAACTGATGGAGCCAAAAGGACAGAAAACAGAATATGTCACCCTTCTGTAATAATAGCCCTTTTTTTTTGTCTGCAGATCCAGAGACAAGCCCATTCAGGTAACTGGCTTTGAAAATGAGAACATAGTGCAATTGGCGTCCGATGCGTTGTACTATGCTGTGGCTTTGTGGGTTTTATGTTCATTGGTTCCTTTTGTTCCATATTTAATTATCCGTTAGTTGACCAAGGCTGCAATTTGAGTCAGGAGGTCATGTAAATTGGTTAAATAAATAAATAAAATCATAATTCATGTATCTAACAAAATATCCAAGAGTAGGCTGCACATTGTATTTTAGAACTATTCTAAGTGCTCTTAAAAGACAACAACAAAAATTTAAAACTAAGCAACATAGCTGACTATAAAATTTAAATTTCTTTAGTATTTGTTAGCTTCTAACTTACCGCCAGATGCATTGCTTATAGCTGATCCTGCTGATGCTACCTTTGACACAGCAGCGGGATTATATGTCCAAGACGTTCCACAAACCTCTACTTTTAAGTCACTATCCGAGTAGATCTGCTGGACCCTTCCAACTTTACCTAGGGTCTAGATTAAAGAAAACCAATATTATTTATAATATTTTATTTATAAAATCACCATTTTATATGGATATCTTATTCTATATTCCAATAAAGTTCTGTGAATGTTGACCTAATAATGAATGACTGCAGATCAATCATTGGTATGTAAAAAAATAAGCTCATTTCTATTATCATTTCAATAAAATATTTTTATTATTTTCAATAAATTCAGTAATCAAATAATCCAACTCATTTTAGCTAAGTGATCTTCTACTGCAGAGTTCCCCAACCTGTGGGCCACAGCCCACTACTGGGCCGTGAGGGGTTTGCAACTGGGCCATGGAAACAGCCAGCGAGCCCATGCGCATGCACATCCTCACTTGCGCGAGCAACGGGCAAGTGCTGTGTGCGCACTCCATTTGTGTGGCACGTGTGTGCCTTTTGGGCAAATGGAGCTGTGTGTGCTTGTCGGCCACTTGCACAAACCACCCCACCCCCCCGCCGGTCCACAAAGCTAGAAAGTTGGGGAAATCTGTTCTACCAGATGATTTTCACATTTTTAAGATACTAGAAATTCATTTTTAAGATTATACAAATGTCTAATGCTAGAAGATAAAACAAGATATAGTTGAGAGAATGAATGTTATACAGATAGTCCTCAACCTACGGCCACAATTAAGCCCCAAATTTATGCTGCTAAGCAAGACAGTGAATTTTGCCCCATTTTACAATATTTTTTGCCACAGTTGTTAAGTGAACCATTGCAGTTAGTAACATGGTTAATTGAATGTGGCTTCTCCATTGACTTTCCTTGTCAGAAGGTTGCAAAAGACGATCACATGACCCTGGGGCACAGCAAACCATCATAAATATGAACTAGTTGCCAAGCATCCAAATTTTGATCTCCTGACCTCGGGAACATTACAATGGTTTTAAGTGTGAAAAACAGTCATAAGTCACTTTTTTCAGAGCCATTGAAACTTCGAACAGATGAATGTAAGTTGAGGACTCTCTGTGATTCATATTCAATAATATTCATAGTCAATACTCAATAATGCTTAAAAAATAGGTAGACTTAATATTTCCTTCAAACTTCATTCCAAGTTCATAACTACCCGTGTTTCCCCAGAAATAAGACCGGGTCTTATTTTCTTTTGGGGCCCAAAAGAAACACTAGGGCTTATTTTCGGGGTGTCTTATTTCCCACCCCCCATGTACAGGAGGCCCACTTTTTCTGCTTGTTCGCAGTGGGGCAGGAGGCCATGTGGCACACTAGTGCTGCTGAGGCGAGGCAGGAGAGATGGATCTGCCCCATGCACCCCACACTGGCTTATCTCAGGGCCCTCACAGCTAAGCCACGTCCTGACACCTGCCTTGCCTCATGGCCATGGAACCAACACACTTTTTGGTCTCCTGCTTCATTGTGGCCCCAAGTAAGCAGAAAAAGTGGGCTGGCAGCCATGTAAGCTTCTGCTGCACATGGTTGCTGGTGCTGTCACCATGAGGCAGGTGTTAGGGTGTGGATGGCCTGGCTATGGGGGCCCTGAGGTAAGCTGCTGCAGGGTGCATGGAGCAGTTCCACCACCACCCCGCCTCCACGGCACTTTGAGCAACCAGACGGCTCTTAAGTGGGGCTTATTTTGGAGGTAGGTCTTATATTAGATGCACGTATAAAAACATGCTAGGTCTTATTTTCAGGATAGGTCTTATTTTCAGGGAAACAGGGTATTGCTTACTTGTGTCATAATGGAAACTGCTGGAATAAACTATCCAAGCAGAAAGTCATTTCGTCCCTATTGATTCATTATACCTGATTATCAATAAGATTTATTCAGAAAGAGAAACCTGTTTCCAATGGACATAATTTACATAATTTTCTAAAATTTCACTGTCATTCATTGAAGGATTTCACTTCAGTCCTGAAATAAATTTATCCACATTTTAATTTCAAATTACATAACAACAAATATATTTATATAAACTTACAGGAAGCATTGCTTCAGCCCATTCACCATGTCCCCTTTGAAGCAACTTAATTCTTTCTAAGTCATAACAAACTTGGACAAGATCACCCACTTGAAATTGTGAAGCACCACCTTCAGCACCTTGCACACCATCTCCACTTCGGACAACATTGGCTTTAGTAAGAACAGCAGGGTTAAAGGTCCATCTAAAAAGTAAAAGTAACATTATTATGGCAAATGATTTTATAGTTTTATGAAAGCATAACTATTCACTATTGCTCAGTTCTGCCCCCCATTTGCAAAAGATGCTTGATTCTGAAATATTATAACAATGCTTTTAGGATACAGATTATTAGCTGAAGTGAGAATGATTCAAGGATTTTTTTAAAAATCAAGTGATTTAATGGTAATCCAGTAATTTACAAGCCAGTTACATTAAGGTTTATTCTAAGTAGACCTACTGATATACTAGTAAATATCAAGTATGTAGTAGAATAAATCTTATTAAAGAAGAATCGTGATAGTTCTCAAGACAGGCTTACAAATCTTTCAAAGCACGATTAACTATGCAGTTAGGGTGAACTGACAGATAAGACTGACAGATATTTGAACTTTCAAAAACTTTTCACAGCTTTTATTAAAGCAAATTTAATAGTCACGGACAAAAGAAAACGTTTTACAAAATGTTTCAGAAAAAAAGCGTAGGTTAAGAATAAATAGACTGATGGATGTAAGAAACAGAGCTGATGTTGCAAAAATATGTTTGTACTTGAGCTGATATTAATTTGCTTCTCAATTATCAGGTAGTTGACAACAAATACCAAGCTAACAACAACGATAAGCAGCAACAGCAACAGTAGCAAAAGTGTAAAAGAATGTATAGCTAGACTTGGTAAAGGAATGAACCATTAAGGGAGGAGAAATATCAACTCAGTCCTGAGAAAAAGGAAAACACAGGAAAAAAGCTCAGATTAATTCTGCCTTGATTTTGTTTAGTATAAAATAGGGCTGAAAGAAAATCTGAGAGGTTTTTAAAATTCTGTAATTATATCCTATAACAATAAAGTAGCATTCCTGAAATCCCTCTGATGTCTGTTTCTTGACCTTAATCTACTTCAAAAGGCCTGAATAAAAAAGTATTTCGAACCTGGAGAATGGAAATTAAAATTGCAAATATAATTCAATATAAACTAGAGAGAAAAAACAGTATCATAATTTTATACAGAATGTACTGTATACAGACATAAAATAGCATCTTCGATTGTAATGACTGACTAGCAAAGGGATTTTAAGCTGTAAAACGTAACTAGGAAAACACTGACTAAATGTGTGACAACTGTGAAAAAAGATAAATTCATATTAAGTATTATAGGTATTTTCAGAATTCAATGTAGTCTTTTCCAACTTAAAAAGAAACTTAACAAATTTGTTTTGACCTTACCAGAGCTGTTTTTGTTTCAAGTTGGAACATTCTGGAAAAGTTTGCTATGAGTTCAGAGTGAATTGTTTTAAACCTGAAACAATTGTCTGAACTCAAAAAAGTGTCCCTACTGAAAACATTTTGCACATCTCATCTAACAATAATTAAGAAAATTATTTTAAAATATATAACTGCCAATATCATGGTATCACAAAATACACAGAAAAGAAAGGTCAAAGCAAATGTTTTTAGAATGAGAGCAATTTAACAAACTAATTGAACAGAAGGGTGATAGGATATGTTTAAACAGAAGCAAGAGAGCCTTGTGGAAGAAGTAGATTAATTTGGATTTCTGCATGAAGCAGGAGATTGGAATCAAGGGTCTAAACGGCTCCTTCCAACTCCATGACCAAGACACTAAAGATCTTCCCTCGGATGAAACATTGGAAATGTGGGAATTAAGCAAATTACTGTAATAAGTTGTGAAGAAAGTCAGAAAGAAAAAAAAATACTTTTTCTCACAATACTGGAAAGCAAGATCATCATTTAAAGCTAAATGGAAAAGGTTTTTAAGAAAAACACAACAACAAAGAAGTAATTATATCATTCAATGGCATAAGACAACCCACAGGCATCTATTTGGCCACTATAGAAAACACAATGCTGGATAAACCTTTGATTTGATTCAGCATGTCTTTTAATTTAGTCTGATAGTTGAAAAATAAAACTGCTCATATATTTTTAAGAATATAGTCATAAATCAGATTTTTAAGTACTCTAAGCTAAAACTGTCTAAAGGTATAGAAAAATGTTTCCTTGTTCCATGTAGTATGATCTCAACAAAAACTTGTTTATTACTAGAGGGAGGAGAATTAACTGTACAAAGAATTAAGAATACTGCTGCTAACAGTTTAACCTGGAAAGTCTTTGTGTACCCAATGCCTATAGGTTAAGGAACTGCACAGATTTTCAGGCTGAAGCTATGAAAGTGCTGTTAGACTGTAGCAGGAAACAGAAATAGATCAAATATTCTTAAACAAAGACAATTGGGAGTTGGGTAGTTTTCTTTACAAAAGTATTTGGAAAGGGATGAAAATAGTATTCCAGTTTGAACTGTTGGTTAAGTAGTGCTCTTGACTAAAACCAACCTTACTTTATCATACTGTTAAAGAGGTTCTAAGCTAAATGTTTTAAAGAGATACTTCTCCAGTCAAGGTAAACAGCAAATGTACAAAGTTTTACAAAAATAATCCTTATTGTATATATAAAGCAAAACTAATGAAGATACTTTTAATAATTATAATTTTGTTGCAAGACATAAGAAATGGACAAATGACACAGAATGCAGAGTGGAGAATCTAAAGATATTTAGATATATGTGCTGTATTAATTATTATATTCCTGGAAATTCTATTTGAGGGGGGTAATTTAAAGGATCTAATCTGTGCATAAAACATATCAAAAGAAATAAATGATGAATGTGTCCCATTCTTATTTGTTATAGTATTTTGATGTGTTTATAACAAAAGTAATGCAGATTACTCATGGAATATAGATTTTTTACCCTGCTATTAATTAGTGGAAAAATTTCCTAGTAATACTATATATACCACAGATGTCAAACTCGATTGCATCACATGACGTATTGCAAGGCTGCCAGTTTGACACCCCTGCAATATAGGGCAATGAATATAAAATAAAGCCCATGGCATATACCTGAGTGTCACATTATCAATATGAATTAGTATTTCCATTCTTATTTAGAGATCTTGCATGACACAACAATAAATATAAAACACTAATTAAAAACTTGCATAATAAGAATGATTTGTTTTATAAAAAAACAAATTAATATACCTATTCCCACTTGGATATTGTACAACAATGTCATGGTCTTCATCTATTCCACAAACTGTGCCAGTAGTTGTTAAGGTTTCAAACATTCCATCAGTCCATCCTCCATGCCCATGTTGCAATGACTGAACAATTTCTAAGTCAAGATCAATGTTCACTAAATCACCAATCTGTAAACCACCAGGATTTCGGTTGCCATTCTGTTCTCCTAAAGTTAAGAATTTAAAGAGAATGTATGTTTTGGAAATTTCATCCATAAAAACATAATTCACATATAATAGGATACATTGCTATTTTAGCAGTCTAATCTCAGTAATGTAGAAACATAGCAGCATTACATAACTAAAAGTGAAATCAGGGAATAGTATTACCACTTCATTTAACAAACTTATGCAATTATAGTCTGGAAAAATACGATAAATATTAAGTAAAATGTTCTCTGGGCGACAGATAATGATCTATCTTTGCATACGATTGCTCTAAAGCAAGGGTGTCAAACTCAAGGCCTGCGAGCCGGATCTAGCCTGCAGGGTGATTAAATCTGGCCTGCAGGGCCAGCCTGGAAATATCAAAAGGACTGGCCTGCAGTGCCTCTGCTGGCCAAAACGGGCTGCGCGGAGGACTCGCAGGGCTTCCACACGGCCCGTTTTTGGCCTGCAGAGTGTTGCTGGAGGCCGTTCAGGCCGAAAATGGACCATGCAGGGGCCTTGTGGGGCCTCCGCGCGCCCTGTTTAGTTGGCATGGTGCTGCAGGAGGTGTCCATCCCATCTCCCCCTGCTCCCCCTCCCCCGGCCGGTCCACAGAGAACTACAATGCTGATCCAGCCCTCAAAGAAATCCAGTTTGACTCCCCTGCTCTAAAGGATTCTGAATTCTACAGTGAAAGAAGACAAACTAAATCTGCCTGATGACCTGGAGGGGAAAGGTGCAAATAATCAGGTTCTTCTCTTTTCCTTAGTATGAAAGAAATAAATATAGTGGCATAATGACAGACACTTTTTGTTAGGAGGCACCAGCATCAGGAGAAAGGGCAGGCTTGGAATCACTTCAAAGAAGTAGAATTTAGCAGCTCCAAATAAGTTCATAGTAAAATTATCCCACATTCTCATCAGATGCTAGATTCTGGCTGTAAAAGTAATGAAACATTGCCTTTCTAATTCTTATATATAATTTCAGAGGACATTTAATTTGCAGCCTTGCTCTTCTGCATTCCTTGGCAGGGAGTCCAGCAATCACTGTATTTGTGAATCCCAATAAACAATACTCACTTATTACATTTACCTCCAAGAGTTATGGTTCCTTACATAAGCAGGCATTTTTCTTATAACCACTGTTATTAATGTCATCAATCATCTATTAAATTGCTTACACATACATCCCTTTAGCTTTATGCACCAAGTATCAGAATTCAGATTCTGTATCTTACCAAGCACAGGACAGTGGTCTCGATAGAAGGATCCTCCTTTTGAATCCTGGACACATTTAAGGTCTGACTAGAAGAAATAAAAATTCATAGAGAGAATTTAACTCTGAACCAATATATGCATCATAAGATTGAGACATTTATTATGACTTGATAAATGGTACTTTTAAAGCTTTCAATAATTCATAAAGAAATAACAGACTGATACTTTCCTATAGATGTTAAGTGTATTCTAAACTGTAGATACTATCTAGTAATTAGACTCTGGTTTTAAGTGGGCATTCATACCACCGTTAAAATTCTGGAGACTGAAAAATCACAGTATGTTTCCTCAGATGTAAGTCTGATTATTTTAAGTGAAGCTTATTACCAGTAAACATGTAAGGAATTGTAGCATAACCTTTGCCCTATTTGTTAAGGGCAAACAAAAAAAATTAGGAAATTCTGCCATTTATTCTGTAGTAAATCTGTACAAACTATTTGGAAAAGGACTGTTTTAAATTAATTCTCTAGCCTTGCAATTATAATTTGGGATACAGCCATATGAGCTGTGGTGGCGCAGTGGTTAGAATGCAGTACTGCAGGCTACTTCTGCTGATTGCCAGCCACCAGAATTTTGGTAGTTCAAGTCTCACTGGCTCAAGGCTGACTCAGCTTTCTCTGTACACATTCAACAAATAGAAAGCCTTGTCTAACTTAGGCACATTCATCTCTTATAAAATCAGTGACAATGCTGAATCACAGTTTCCCCAAACATTTGGGAACATGTGTGTTTGCAAAGTCAAATAAAAATGCATAAAATAAGACAGTCTTGCAAGCTTATAGTGAATGAATGAATGAATGAATGAATAAATGAATGAATGAATGAATAAATAAATAAATAAATAGTCTAAAGAGTATCTCTAATTAATATACCTAGCAACAAATTCTAATTTTTCTCTTGTCTAATTGTTCTTGCCATGCCTAATCCAAATACAGATATCTGGTTCTATCTCTGAAGCAATACCCATTGGACAAAGATCATTCAAGGCATATATACTAAAGAAGGAAGCAAACAGGAAGAAAGCTGAGTTTTAATTTGTATCAACTGCAACTCAGGGAGCAAAGGGACAAGTGGCGTATACTCCAACCAGGTGCTGCTACAAAGAACTCTGTTTCTTTTCTATCAAGAGCCAAAAGTCCCAGAAATGTAAACTGGCATATGCAAGATGCAAAGAATAATGTCTTCTCCTTTGAATAATCTAAATACAACAATCTTAAAAACCAGTAAATGGTACTTCCAAAGTTCATAACTATACCACACAAGACAGAACCTCTGCATTTGCACCCTGCAATTTGGTAACAAGAGCAAAGGAAAAAATCAAAGCATGGGAGGAAAGCATGTACATGCAAGGAACTCAGTAAGCTATTTTTAACAAGTAAACTATAGTTATGCTTGAACATGCAACACCATGAATTTTGAATGTAAAACTTTTCAAAAAGTGATTTTAAAATCAACGAAGCACTTTGGCTGATTGTGCTCTGTTTGTGTTGCAAGACTAACACTGATGGTGATAAAAGCTTATTTATACTAATCCGTAATTTTGAACAAAGTACACTTCTCCCAACATTTGCATCACACTATTTTATTACCAAACAGAAAATGGGAGGTTCTTGCATTTTGATTACAGTATCAACTTGTATAAAGACAACAAGCTCCAATAAAATCAATTTTCATAAGAAATGAATAATTTTACTAATGCTAAAAAATGCCCATCAACAAGTATGTTCATGTTATGTAATGATTACAGAAATAATGTACATGTGAAATAAAACAAAAGAAAATGTTAGCTGTAGCCCTAGCATCACTGAAATCAAGATTACTCAAGCAAAAAAATTAATGAACATAATGCATTGTTTCATGAATAATCCAAATATTTTACTACCTAAAAGATGGAAATAAACACAGAACTGATTTACAGCAATCTCTACTATTAAAGATATTAGCTTTATTTTATAGAAATGTCACCTATTTAAAACAGGAAATATTATAAAGAGAAAGAAGCCAGCTTAAAAATTAGCCTGAAATCAGACTTATGCATATGCATTAGTTATCCCTATAGCTGTAGGAACAATGAAGCGCCTAACAGCATGCAAACTGACAGAAGGATAACACAAAAGAAAATAGCACAGCACAGGCCATTGTTATTACTTCAACATGAAATACTTCAGTTCTTTATATTATTTTACTTCTTACCATGCCCTCAAAGCCAACTCTGTAAAGGTTTTTAGCTCCATTGTCCCATAAAACATATGCTGCACTATGTGGACTTGATGCACTCCAGTCTTGGATTTCAGTTACCTAGCAAAATAAAAAGGATACATGTTTACTACCAAAAATTAAAAAAAATAATAAAATCATGATCATCCCACAATTGGCAAGAATCTTTGTTATTTTTCTAAAAACACTGAATTGGTTATACCCAAAAAGTCTGCTAATAAATTACAATACAAACTATCATTAAAACAACAACAACAAAGAACTATAAAAAAAAACCATTGAAATAGTATTTGAATAATATTCTATGCCTTTGCACCAATGATTAAAAATATGAGGGACCAATGGAATTCTCCAAAGACCAGCAGGTAAAACAGAGACATCCCTCCTATTTTCCACATCAATTCCTTGTATTGAGTCATTTAGAAAGGACCCAATTCACTTAAACATGGTGCCCCAAGTCTTGTCTGGCAAGCTATTAGAAGAATATTATGGTTATAATCAGCAAACACTATAGTAATCAAAAACACAAAAGCAGGAATGCACTCTTTGTCTATTCCCTAACAGTCATCTGACAAGGTAAATACATAAACTTCTATCTTGTAGCCAAAAAAACAAGACTGCAATGTGACCCACAACCACCTATGGGTTGCAAGGCCGAAGCCTAATCAAACTAGCTTAAGGTCAGTAAGGTTCAGTGAGTCTACTCTTATTTTTTAAAAGCAGTTATCACTATTGCTTCTTTTTAAGCATTAATATTTTCTATTAGTATTATATATTTTTACAGTATATGATTTAGGTAATGAAGCCCCACTCAAAACTTGGTAACAAAGAGTTGTATTTTTTGGAGGTCATGTTTTTTCAAGTAGTCTGCTCATAAGTTAAAAAGTAATAGATAAAAATTTACACTACATAATCAAAAATAAGCCAACCATAATATTCAAGAAATCCACTGAATCAGGGCTGTCAAACTCCTGGCCCACGGGCCAGATGCATCATATGTTTGCCACGCCCATGCCCCGTTTAGCGAAGGGAAAAAAAGTCCCAATACATCACATGACGCCACTGTGATGTGAGTTTGACACCCCTGCACTAAACATTATGTCATTAAGTTCTCTGAGGAAGATTGATTAGCATCTTTATCAAGAAAGAAGTATTACAGGTCATCATTGATGCAAATGATTCTGCCATAAAATACCTGTTAGAAATATACTATAGTCTCGTTTTATCATACCCATTATGAATTTTTACTACCTGTTCACCAAATAATTTTATTACACCATCACCTCAGTATACTACAGTATTATTACACTGTCAGTGAGTCACACCAGGATGAGTCAGTAAACATATATTTATATTTTAAAGGCATAGAGAACAGATAAAGGCTGCTAGTTAGAAGGAAAATCCAAAAAAAAAATCACACATTCATTGGTAACAGAAGCCTCCACTAATAGGAACACATAATAAATATATTCTGCCACTAGCCATGAACTGTCCAGGAAACAGTAATGGTACTCTGAACTCTTACTTTGCCCCTGCGTCCATTGCCACCATCCTGATCTTCCCATTGCCAATCAACTCCTCGTACCACCCTGGCACCTGTAAAGATTCCTCTTGCAGTAATTTTCTTTGATTTACGGCGAGATTCCAGTAATACCCTAAGATTTAATATTAATAATAGGTTAAAGAGATGCCCAATCAAAAATAAGTTATTTAAAAATGTTTGTTGCCAAAATCTAAAACTTGCTTTAATGTAAAACAGTACATTTCAGTTTTACATTAGTAAACATTTTAGATGCAGGAATTTTTCTAAATAATATAGTTTTAAATTAATCATATTTGCTACCTTTCACTTCCAGGTGTGGTTATTCTGTAAAAGCGGTGTCTTAGATGATGTTTATCCCCATGATAACATACTGTGCATAAATCATAATTTGTACATTCCGCACATTTCCATCGAATACCAATTATTGGTTGCTGGCGACAAGTATCGCACATAGTCCCATCATGTTTAATACCTATAAATAGATATACAACTAACATAGTATTTTAAACAGAACATATGAAAGCAAACACAAAAACACAGAGTCTAGGCACTGAGTATATTATTATAATTTCAATTACTTTTCAAACCACACCCTATAATGCCCACATTATTCAATTTAATCACACAATAGCTTCAGGTACTAATTATGTCAAATGATCAAATATGAATGTATATAAAATACTGGGTCTATAATTACATATTTAAAACAATCCAATCTGTCAAGATAGGCAAATTCGCTACTCTTTACATATTAGAACTGACCAACTTCAGTATCATTAAAATCTATATACAAATCCATTATAAAAACAGTCCATGGTTCTAGATACTATAACTTAAAAAAGAATATAGTTACTATAAATTAAATGGGCTTTTCTCTTCATGGCATAGAAAGAGAAAGAAAAAAAATGTAATCTCACAAAAGAATAGAACTAGGAGTCAATGAAAGAAATTAACAAGAAAAAGGAACAGGACAGCATCCCTAAAAGGGCAACTATGTCAGTTTGCTGTTTGAATCTGAATTATTCTCAGACTCATATGTACTAATTAATAAGTTACAAGAAATCTTCAACATCATTAGGTGAGTTCCATTATTATGTTGCCTTCCCTTCTATTTCAAAATTTAGAGCAGCGCCTACCAAACACAAATGCCTTATTGAATCTAATGCATCATTGAACTAGTCTGGCATTTCCTACCATTTCCTATATTTTTAATTTCAAGAGAAATTACATAATTTCCAAATCAGCATTTTCCCCTACAGTTAAACTTTTCTAAGCAAATAGGTTATAATCTTCTAGGAACAGAAACATTGAATCCCTACATTTGTTATATTGAATTATGATTGATGAATTTGTTTTTACTCTGGCTGCTATGTGTTTTCAGTTTTTCTGTTTTCTTTTAATATTACTAGCCACCCAGAGTTATGAATTTGAGATAGGCAGTCATATAAATTGAAATAAATGTGTTTGTATAATAAGCATATTTTGTAATAACTAAAACATTTAAGGTTTATTTCAGTCAATATATAAGTGTTTAAATGATAAAGCCAACAGACAGTTCAAACTTTTTCCCACTAAACATGAATGTGGTATTTTTTTTAAAGGCAACATTCCAATTTAGAAATTATATCAATACAAAGTCCATATTTAAATTAACTTTTTGGGAAATGTTTTTATTATCTCAAACAATAAAATGGAAAATTATGTTACATCAAGTTTCAGTTTTTTACTAGATCAAACAAAATAATTGCCAATTTTAGGATATATTTTTAATATTACATAACAAAGAATACCTTATTGAAAATATGCAAATAATAATAAAAAGGGCAGTCCTGTATCTACATACAAGTTCTTCCATCCTTAGTTCTGGATGGGGCTGCACTACCTGACAGACCTCTTGTGCAATCTGGGGGTCCTCCTAGACCCCGGGTGTCAAACTCGCCACATCTTGTTGCTGTCATATGACATTTTGTGACATTTTCCCCATTTGTGGAGCTGGGGTGGGTGTGGCCTGCACGTGATGCATCCAGCCTGAGGGCCTCCATTTGTCACCCCTGTCCTAGATTCATAGCTCCTGCTCAAACAGCAGATGGCAACCATGCTTAAGACAGTCTTTGCACCCCTTCGAGGATGTGTGCGCCAACTACACCTATTCTTCGACCACAATGCTGTTAGTAACAGTATCTCATACCCTTGTAACCTCTTATCTAGATTATTGAAACATGCTCTACATGGGGCTGATCCTGAAGAGCATTCAGAAACTGGTAAAGAACTGGAACAGAATATGACTGCACAGGTGGTAAATGTTGCCAGATTTATGGCACGTGTAACACCACTACTACTGGAATGCCTTTACTGGTATGTTTCCAGGTGTAATTCAAAGTGCTAGTTGACACCTTTAAAGCCCTACATGGCTTGGGACCGGGTTACTTGAGAGACTACCTTTTCCCAAGAATCTCTACTTGTCCAATTCAATTTAGCATATTAGACATGCTGCAGATCCTGTCAGCCAAACAGTGTTGGCTGGTAGGGACTAGAAGATGGCCATTGTCTGCAGCAGCCTCTGATTTGTGGAAATATCGGAGGATATTCAACTCAGACATTAGAATGGCCCCAACCCTATTAGCCTTCATAAAGCTCTAAAAATCTAGCTGAGTTCCTGAGCTTGGGGTACTGAAAGTGCTAAGTGCCCCATTTCCTGGCTTTATTGTTAGCTGGCCTAGTATCTCTGCTAGAATGCATGTTTATTTTGGATAAATATTTATTTTATTTTCTATTGTTTTTGTTTTAAAAGGTTAATATTGTTGCATATTTTTTGAATTGTAAGCTGCCTAAAGTCATTGATGGGCGGCTATAGAAATTGAATAAATAAAATATCAGAAGTGTCATTAATTCAGTAACAACTGATTTCTAAGAACCTTATATTTTTCATATTACAATAATTATTTGAGAAAATAAGGCCGTTAACAATCCACATTTCCTCACTGTTGTAAAGCAGCAATGTAAATATAAATTTATTTCTCTGTTGCTGAATATGCTACAATGGGCATCTTCTCCAAGACTAAATGTATCTTAAGCATTGGGATAAAACTTTCCAAACTTGGATCAAAAACTATTTTTAAAAAAAATGAGTAACTCACAGTGACATAACGACTTTGTTACGAAGACAAAAGGAAAAAGAACTCTCCCAATATTTAACTTCAACGCTATACTTTTTAAAAAAGGATGCTGAAATTGTCTCTTGAAAAAAAGCATGACTACATTTGCAAGATGAAAGATGCTTTGCAGTACTCCTTCAGAAAAACCTTTTTATATTTATTCAAGTCAAAGTTGCAAAACCCAATCATACATCCTGTGTATGTGTGTCCCATAGAATAAAGGGGGTGTTTTCCCATTAAACTGAACTGAAGAAACTCCAAATCTTACTAAGAAGTTCCAATTGAACTAACTTCTTACATGGAAATTAACCTCCAAAGGGGCAAACCTAGACATGTAGGATTTAACCCCCATTACTTGAAGGCAGAAGAGTGGGACGGCTCTCCATCACCTGCATTTACACAGTTACACACCTCTTTCCTTTCCTATTAAGCGCGTTTTGATCCTTTTTAACGTTTTCTGTGCCGACTACCGACTGAGCTCTTAACGTCCCTGTGCAACTTTTAGCCACGGGCTTCCCCGATCACGCCCCCCTCTTAAGCAGGGAGTTCCTTAACTATGATTAGGAGCCCTGCGGACAAACAAGGCCTCGACTGAGAGTCGCCAACAACCCTCGGCCGCTCTTGGGAAACTCCGAGTGGTGTCCCGACGGCGTCGACAGTCGCGCCGGCGGCAGGGAAGACTCGCCGGGCCCTAAAAAGGGTCCAAACCTTCACGCTTCTCCCCCAAGACCGCCCGCCCCCCACCCACCCCCGCGGGAAGCGCCCCGGCTCTCCGGCTTCCCTCTCACCTGTGGGCGCGCTGTCGAGGATGCGCAGGTCATAGGCTCCCGAGCAGCGGTAATTGGCGGCCGTGCCGTTGTCCCAGACCACCACCACCTCCTCGGGGCTTTCGAAACTGCGCACGGTGCCCACATGGCCCTCGCCGCCATCCTGCTTGCCCCATTTCCAGTCGGGGCCCCTCACGACGCGGGCACCGACGCCCTCCACCATCACTCGGTTGTTCCTCGAATTGCTCATTGTTACTCAGCTCGCCGGGGCGTCCCTCGCGGTGCAGCGACGAGGCCGGGTTATTCGCTGACGCCAATAACGGGGAAACCGAGGCCGTAGGGGATGCCTTCCCAGAAACGCCGGAACAACAAAAGACCTGAAAAGGGAAGCCAGACAGCCAGCCGACCGGCCGGCCGGTCTCCTCCCGCGGGGTGGATGGGATGCGGCCTCCGCCAGCGGAGCGCAGCGTTCACGACGTACAGCCTTTCCCCCTCCCACAACACCCCCCTCCCCTCAAATGGTGTCGCCCAACCCGGAGAAGCTGGCCGCGCTTTATGCAGGTTCGAAAGGGGAGGGGGCGAACCTGACGCTTCGGCTGCTACATCCGGGCACTACGGCGATATCGCCATTCCGGCCGCGGTAGTGGAGGTAGGGCGCACGGGGCTCTCCTGCGCATGTTCCGATTCTGCAACCGGAGAAGGGAAGGGCCCCATTCAGAACAAAGGAAGCGAGAGACTCCTTAGGGACCTCTAGGGAAACCAGTAGTGTATTGCATCGCTTAGGGCCGAACTTCTGGATTTGCATTGGGGGCGAATGGGGGCGGGGGCTGTGCGAAATGTGGCTGCACCTGGAAGTTCTCTCAAGCCTAAGAAGAGCCCGATGAGTCAGGCCGGCAACAAGAGCAAAGACAACTGGAGGGCAATAGCTTTCCCGCTATCTCACGCAAGCAGCTTTTCTGCCGGCGTTCCTTTCAGGACCGTTCTTAGTTAAATCGTTCGGTCAAGACGCTTTGTGACCAGGTGGCTGTGATTATCTCAGGATTGTCAGTAACTACTCCTTTGAGTTGTTGGAAGCTCATCTCTGTGTTACAGGGGAATACATCTAATTCCCTTGCCTTCTCTTGGCTGCTTTTTCGATGCAACGTTTTCTCCCACGATTCTATAGCCTTCTCATCTTGTGTTTAGAATGAGTGCTGATGAGTGCTTCGGTGACAATCTGATTTTATTTCATTTCATATTAGATTTTCTTCCTGTCCAAAATATTCTCAATAATCTTCTTCCAACAGTTCTAAAGCAATGGGATCTTTCTGAGTATCAGGCTTCCACAACCTTACTTTACAATGGGAAAACCATAGATTGACAAACATATTGGTCAATGTGATGTGTCTATCTTTAACTCTTTTAGCCATGACATTATTTTTCCAATTAGCAGAGCTGGCTTTTATTTATTCAGCATGCCTTTCACATTTTGAGGCTATGAAGATAAAGACTACAACTTTTACTCAGCCTTTTTGCTTTGCACTAGCACTAGCTGTTAATCTTTTTTTAAGGTAAAAGGTAAAGGTTCCCCATGCACATATGTGCTAGTCGTTCCCTACTCTAGGAGGCGGTGCTCACCTCCGTTTCAAAGCCGAAGAGCCAGCGCTGTCTGAAGAGTCTCCGTGGTCATGTGGCCGGCATGACTAAACACCAAAGGCGCACGGAACGCTGTTTCCTTCCCCCCAAAGGCGGTCCCTATTTTTCTACTTGCATTTTTTACGTGCTTTCGAACTGCTAGGTTGGTAGAAACTGGGACAAGTAACAGAGCTCACCCCGTTACGCGGCACTAGGGACTTGCACCGCTGAACTGCCAACCTTTTGATCAACAAGCTCAGCGTCTTAGCCACTGAGCCACCACATCATTTTTTTAAACAGAGTAGTTAATTGGTCTTTCACTATTCTGTAAGTTTCAGGCACCTAATGTATTGTTACTTTTAATGTCATGAAGTGGTTTGTACCTTTCCATGAAATGTTATGAACTGTTCTTTATGTATAGTCACAGAAAACCTAACATTATAGATATGATTTATAACTCTTTTCAATACTCTTTACTAGCAACATTTGAAAAACATTTTAATGTTTTTTGAAAATATAACTATATTTGTTTCAGCAAAGGCAAAAAAAAATCATGCAGCTTCTTAAACATTTTGACTCATGTCTATGGACTAGCAACTATGTATTGGAAAATTAAAATGTTAAGTTGAATAAAATGTGTAAATTAGTAACTACCCTGTTTTCCCCAAAATAAGACATCCCCTGATAATAAGCCCAATCGGGCTTTTGAGCGCATGGCAATAAGGCCAAGCGCTTATTTCAGGGTTCAAAAAAATATAAAACAGGGTCTTATTTTTGGGGAAACACGGTATTTAGTCAGAATACAATTGCATACTGTACAAAGTTGTTCCAGTGATCTTATGCAAGAAGGATAACTGATAATGTTATAATTGTTCAGTACATTAGCACCTGTAATAGGACAGCCTAGCTGTCAACAGGGATGATGAGAAGACATCAGCAGGTTATCCAGAAGAGCTCCTAGTCTTAACCAGACTAGAGCTGCCTCAGCAACCACAAAAAAATGGATGATATCATCTTCAACACACCCATGACCATCCAAAAAACAGTCTGGGTTTATCTTTTCCTGCTCCAGTTTTAAAGTGATATCTTTCAGCTCTTGCAGCATAAAACATGTGGAATTGTATCCAATGTACTGTTCACAGTTAATAGTAGGGATAGGGCTCTGTCCTTCTCACACTGGCCCCTGAGGCTGCTGCATGCATATTCTCTATCCATCCTTGGTCAGAAATTTTCAGGGACACTTGCAAACAACAATGGAAGATTGGGGCAAAGAGGTCTCTCTCCCACTTCTCTTGCCAATCCTGCTAGCAGACCCTATTTTTGGCACACACAATGAAACATAACTAATGACACAGGCTCAGTTTACAAAAAACATTGGGCTGAAACACATGGTAGTTGGTTTGTAGCTTAATGTATTGTACAACAGTAGTCTATCTTTTGCAGTTTATTACAATTCTTTTTTACACCAAACGATTCTCTTTATTTTCATTTTCTAATTATATTTTATATTGGTTTTGAATGATTTTATATTTATTCCAGTTGGAGTATTAATCATTTTTGTTTATTGTGGCGTGCCGTTCAATGCTATTAAATTACTAAACAATTCTAATAGAGATAATAAATGGGGTAAATATTTATTGGCAGGATACATATTATATATTCAGATCATTCCAAGTTCAATCCATAGAATTTCAAGTAGAAATTTGTATCTGCCTAAGTATTGGAAAAGTGCCTGCCAGTTAAAAATAGACAGTATAGGTCTTGGTACTATGAACTTGGTTAATAAGGTTATTTCCTATAGTTAGTTTATTTATTTGTTAAGCAATTTATTAATTCTAATACCCATATTCAGTGTGTTACTCAATGCACACTGTGGGCAGAATGTGGGGGGAAATTCTGATGCCATAGGATAATCTTCTAACCTGCTTAAAGTCTGTAGAGATTCTCAGTCATCCAGGTCATGGTTGTCCCAAAGGTGCTTTTTCAGGAGGCAATTGAACTTTGTATTTTCTTGTGCATCTGGAAGCTGCTTGTTTGCTTCTATGAAAAGTATAGATGGATCTATTTGGATCTATTTGATAACAGTCCTGTTAGTTTAAAAATATCAATATTATTGGAAATGGCTTTCAGTGATAGTGGAGCAGTATATTTTGCTTGCCCATGGCATCTTGCAAGTATTTGCTTATAATAATGAACTTATTATAAAACTAGTTGTAGTAATGGATAGAAGCTCTGCACTGATATTATTCATAGTCTTCTGAACAAAGGCCAGCATGATTATGGCCAGATTGCTAGGACAACAGAAAGATGTTTCATATATAAAACAACTACCGGTATTATGTACTAACTTTTGAATCGGATAAAAATTATGACACAGAACCAACTTCTTTTAAACACAATTGTAATATTTATGTTTAAGACTACATTTGAACTACTGGTGTTCTCAGAACACATAGTAAGATCTAGGGGACTTTGGTTGCTCTCTGAAAAACAGAATAACAAAGTTGGAAGGGACCTTGAAGGTCTTCTAGTCCAACACCCTGCTCAAGCACAGACCATATACCATTCCAGACAAGTGGCTGTCCAGTCTCTTCTGAAAGACCTCCAGTGATGAAGCACCCACAACTTCCGAAGGCACGTTGTTCCACTCGTTAATTGTTCTCAATGTTAAGAAATTTCTTCTTAGTTCTAGATTGCTTCTCTCCTTCATTAATTTCCATCCATTATTTCTTGTCTGGCCTTCTGGTGCTTTGAAAAATAAGCTGACAGACCTCTTCTTTGTGGCATATCCTCAAATATTGGGACACTGCTATCATGTCACCTCTAGTCCTTCTTTTCACTAGACTAAACAAATGCAATTCCTGAAGAAGGATTAAAGCAACAGGAGACTGGTAAAGTCCCAAAAACAATGGCAAACAATGCTTTATTTTTTTTAAAAATAAATATATTCACATTTTTATATCCCTCATCTCACCCAAGTGAGTCTGTTGCCTATAATGTTGCCAAGAAAACTGCAGGGAGGTGTAGTCAACAGGCGAAATTTAAATTCTCCGTTTAGCATACTTCACTAATGAAAAACAATGCTGTTGAAAACCAAAGAACGTTTAGTTGCAAAACTATCTACAGTTCCTCTTTTCTTTTTCTTTTTCTACGCCCGGGATTCCTATAGCGTCTCGCCCTCGCCCTCCCCGCCGCCGAGCTAAGGGAAGGAGGAACGGGGGCGGAGTAGCCTGGCCTATTATCCTATAGAGAAACGGGAGCTGCGGTAGAATTAAAGCAAGCCTTGTACTGTTGCAGCCGGCAGCTGTGCCGGTTTCGGAGAGCGCCATCCTTACCGTTGCAACCATCTCTCTCCCTTACCTCGGCGTTGTAATGTAAAGTGGGGCCGCGATTTCCTCGACGCGTCTAGAAATGAACTTGGAAGAGCTATCGGTGTACTTGGAAAGTAGGGAGGGCCTGTTAGCCTCGGGGATCGGCTGGTCTCTGGTGCTGTGCTTTGGAGCGGCGTATGTCTGCTATTATCTCAGGACGATCGCAAAGGTAAGGCTTTCGGTTTTCTCTCGCCCTGCAATCGCCGCCGTTTAAAAGTGGCCCGGGAAACCCACCTGATGGCGGTCAGAAAGCGGGCAAAGGCCAAACGACTCTCGTCGCCAGGCTCTGACCCACTTCGAAAGGGACAAGTTATCCATAGTTATGAGCTAGGCCCCGAGGGCAACAAACGGTTTGGATCTCGGCGTCTGAGAAAGCCACAGGCGCTTTAGGAGAGAGAAAGCAAGGGGCGATTTCCCCTTCCACATTTTAAATGAATGAAAGGAAAACCGGCTTGCTTTTTTGGTTTGTTTGTCCTGTGTAACGTGGTGCCTCGGTGGTTGCGCAGGATACACTGCAGAGGAACCCGGCGCCAGCTTGTGGAAAGGGGAGGGCAAACGACCACGCAGGCAGAAAATCCAGGATAAGGACTGAAATAAATGGAATGCATTGTCCTCTCTTACTACAGTATTAACACTTTGAAATAAGGCCCCTCATTCATTGGTCTCAGATGTTTGGGGA